CACAGGCTGCCTTCCGGGACTTTAATCCTTCAGAAGGGCTCTCAAAGTGCGTTTCAGCCAAACGTCACCCAGGTGTGTGTTGGGTGGAGGGATGGGAGCACATGAGCCAGTCCTCTCTTGCTTAATTCCACTCTCCAGGTCTTTAACCTCCACGGGAAGGTTCGGCTCCATTGCGGCTGGCGTGGGCAATGCAGAGGTAGAAACGAGGATGAGGGTGGCCACGCACCGGCTCTCACCCCTCTGCGTGTATTGACTCAATTAATCCTCACACTTTGGGGCAGGCCAGGGAGACAACAGGTATGACATCCACATAGTTCTCTCAGTGCTCGATAGGCAGCTGGTAGGGCTGAGATCGATAATTCTCTTCCCTTCTCCCTTCCCACACCCATTTTTGCTTTGCTTATTTTTGCCCTCTGGGGGTGGTCTTGGCCAAGAAACCAAGGCGGCTAAGTTCACCCCAGTTGCAGTCTGGATTCTTATTTCTGGGATCTGCTCTGAGAGGCCTCAACTCACCGAAGCCACGAAAGGTTAGTCATGTGAACTGTCATCCCAGAGGTGAAAGGTCTGACTTTTTATTGCCCGCCCAGAGAGCCATTCACCACTTCTAGCAGTTGCCGGAGAGGGCCTGAAGGCTCTGCATTTGGACATTTCCCTCCGAGGAGCTTAGAAACCTAGCTGGGAGTCATGTGAAGGTAGCGGTGGGCTGGTAGACCAGCTGTCCCCTCCGCGAAGGGGGGGATGTTCTGATTGATAGCATTTGCCAATTTCTGTGGTGTAAATACCCCCACCCGGGGCCACTAGCAAAACCTCTGACATTCTAACAGTCCCCCTCTGGAGCTGCCACGGGCCAGCTCCAGCAGACTGCTGCCTGGACAGCTCTTCTCAGACATTCCTTCAGAGCAAACGGGCAGCACTCTGTCCCTCCAGGCTAAGAGGTGACAGCCCTCTTCATATTTGGCCTGGCCTCCAACCAGTTTGCAACACAGCAGAATGAAAACATGAGCTAGGTCCAGTGGGGTTGCCAGGTCGAGCAAAGAAAAACGCAGGATTTCTAGTTAATGTAGAATTTCAGATCAATGGCGAACAACTATTTTAGTATCACTATGTCCCCCCAAACTGCGGGGGACGTACTTACACTAAGATCGTTTGTAGTTATCTGAAATTCAAACTCACCTGGGCAGGGTGGGACGGAGTAGCTTTTATTGGGCAACTCTAGCCCCTCAGACACGTAGGTGCCCAGAAAATTGGTGGGAAACTGATGGCGGGCGTCGAGCGTAGCAGTAAACTAGGGGCGAGGGGGGTGCGTCTTCCTCGTTCACTGTTTAAACCTGGAAGAGTCGCGAGTACATGTCCTGCTTCAGCTTTCCCTGGACTTAGGGACTCTCCAAGCTAAGAGGCACCCAAAGAAAGGCGTGTGGCCCCATGTCTCTGATTTGCAAATAAGAAAACTGAGGCCCAGAGGGGCGACTTGCTGAAAGTCAGTTGGCGCATGTAGCAGCACCGAGACGGGAATTTGCGGATTCAAAACGCAGGAGGATTTTTGTTTTTCTTCTATCCTACACCTTCGCATTTGAACATTAGTTTGGTTTAATGCTTAAGAGTAGTGGATTCTGGGGGTACCTGGGTGGCTCCGTCGGTCGAGCGTCTGACTTCGCCTCAGGTCATGATCTCACGGTCCGTGGGTTCGAGCCCTGCATCGGGCTCTGTGCTGATGGCTCAGAGCCTGGAACCTGTTTCAGATTCTGTGTCTCCCTCTCTCTCTGCCCCTCCCCCACTCGCACTCTGTCTCCTTCTGTCTCAAAAATAAACGTTAAAATAATTAAAAAAGAGTAGTGGATTCTGTATGTTTGGTGGAGATGGGCAAAATGGGTGAAGGAAATGAAAAGGCACAAAATTCCAATCACAAAATAAAAAAGTCACGGGGACGTATCATACAGCATGGCAACTACCGTTAATAACACTGTATTGCATATTGGGAAGTTGCTAAGAGAGTAGATCTTAAAAGCTCTGATCACAGGAAAAAAATCCTTAACTGTATGGTGACAGCTGTTTATTGGACTTACCGGGTGATCACTGTCCAATGTATAAATATATTGAATCATTACACCGTATACATGAAACTAATAGAATGTTATGTGTCAGTTATCCCTCAATCTATAAAAAAAGAGTTGACTTTGTACTAAGACCCCCTGGGTTCAAATTCGGGCTCTGACAGTTACTAGCCATGTGACCTTGAGCCTTATCTCTTTTGGTCCTGTCCTTCTGTCTTTAAAATGGGGATTAAATGAGTTACTGCCGGTAACTGGGTGACTCAGGTGGTTAAGCATCCGAGTCTCGATCTCAGGGTCGTGAGTTCAAACCCTGCGTTGGGCTCCACGCTCGGTGGAGCCTACTTAAAAAAAAAAATCATAAAGTACTCAGGGGTGCCTGGGTGGCTCAGTTGATTAAGTGTCTGACTCTTGATTTCTGCTCAGGTCATGATGTCACAGTCTTGAGATTGATCCCCTTGTTGGACTCTATGGTGTAGAGCCTGCTTGGGATTCTCTCTCTCCCCCCACTTGCTCTCTCTCTCTCTCTCTCTCTCTCTCTCATACACTTAAAAAAAAAAATAAAGTGCTCAGAACAGTGCCTGGCACACAGTGAGTGGCCACTCAATAAATAAATGCTAGCCCTACAAACAGCCCCCTAGAAAAATCTCTTCCTTGTTTTCGGTAGTTCCTCGAATCTTCTCCCACGTGCGGGACTCGGCCTAGGGCGCTGGTGCACCTGATTCTGCTGCACGTCTCATGGCCTACCCCATTCTCCCTGGTGATCAGCCTGCACTCTACACCCAAGATCACCATCACCTACAAAGTGGGAATCTGTGCCCCTTCACCCACTTGCTTTAAGCGAGGCTCAAAGGATTCCCTGCGTTTAAAATTCAGCACAGAAGAACCTATTAATCTCACTGACTGATGGCCCTATCCCAAATATTAAACCTTAATCACACACTTCTCAGGCCAGACTGGAAAGTCCTGGAAAGCCCTGGTGGCCCCTTAAGCTTTCTTTCTGCCCGGAGGAGAGGGGTAGGGATTGTGGAGACAACGAGCCTGGGTGACAGAGGTTGGGGAGAGCAAGTCTGCAGTCCGGCTGCCCGGATTTAAATCTGGGCTTCACCATTTACTAAATGTGGACCCAATGCCTCTGGGCCTTCCTTTCCTTAAAATGGGCCTGCTAACACCCCCACTGCAAAGGGTTTGCGTTCATCATGCCCTTAGCATTGAATTCAGGTACGGCCGTTAGTAGCAGTGGGGTGTTGGAGAAATGCATCCCCACGTGCCTCGGTGTCTCCACCTGTAAAATGGGGACAGTAGCCCCTTCCTTGTCAGAGCATTAAATGAAGCAACCTTTGAAAAGCTTGTGGCATCGAGTAGGCACCCGGTAAACTCTCAAGTCAACGGAACATCCTTTTCATTTCATGCCACTTGCTTGGCCAACTTCCGTCAGCATATACTTCCCCCTGGTAACTTGCCTGGGAAATGAGCCGAAAGTCCAATTAGCTGCAAAAGCAGAAATGAGCTTAGAAATCAAGCGTTTGTTTATTCCTCTCTCTCTTACCTCCGTCGTTTAGCATTTGAGCCTCGTGAGCCTGCCTCCTTTTGTTTGAGAATTAGAAAGGGACTTGTTTGGGAGGAAGGTTGTTTTTGTTTCGTTTTGCTCTGTAAACAGAAACGCTCCCTGCTTTCTCCTCTGAAAGGCTGAGGAGGAAGCTGAGTCAGGTGGGTGCGGTTAACGCGACAGCGGTCATCGGTCCCTCACCTTGGGCTTGGCGGACCCAATCAGCACACGCTGACTCACGCATCAGCTATACTTAGCATCCCATCTTGTGCTCACTTCTCTAATGCCATGACAAAACAATAGCATTCTTCTAGAATGCAGGGCAGCATGGTGGAGGGAGAGTCAGGGCTTTGGGGGTCCCAGACCTGGGCTGGAATTCCAACCCCAGCGCTTGGTCACTGAGACAGTGACTGGGCAGGCTAGGAAACGGTAGAGCCGAGCCGTCACCGGGAAAGTGGTGGTGCCATCCTGGAGGGTTACACTGAGGCTGAGCGTGGATGTAATGGATGTAAAGCTCGCAGAAGAGCACAGCGGAAATGAGTGGATCCCAGTGACACCACGTTCTCTCCCTTTCAGGATAATATCCCGGGTCCTGGCTTCTACGATGTCATTCACCAATCTCCGGTGTTCAACAGTGTCTCGCTGTCTAAGAAAGGGACGTGCACTTTTCCCTCTATGGTGAGAACCCCCTCCTTGAGTGAGGCCACTAGCGGGATCAGTAATTTCCTTTGCTCCTTGCGTAAACACGTGTTGGTCATCTGGTCCCTTCTCTCCAAATGCCGTGGTTCTAATTAGGAGCATGACTGCCACCTCACGTGTCACGCAGGTAAATTAGAGCCTGTGTCTTTAAGTAATTCCCCTCCCCTGCTAGACGTTGCCAGAGTGGGAAGAGAGGCCAGAGGGAGATCCAGGACCTGATCATCCACCATCAATTCTGTCATCACGGAGTGGACTAAGCAGATGTTTTCCTGAGATTTTTAGGTTCCGGGGAAAAGATCTCACTCTAATATGAGGTTTTACACCGCTCGGTCTCATTGGGTTATTCAAGATATTGAGAAATCTGATGGGGGCAGAAAGAAAGCAGGCAGCAGGCCTGAAATGCGGCGATCGTCCTCCCCTCCCTATTTCCCTTCTTTGTGCAATGAGGGTCTTTATGTTGGTGGATGGCTCTAAGAATCAAGGAACTCTATGAAGGCCCAATGTCGCTGAACAGGCTGGGGCAGGATTTTCTTGTTCTTTATTCGAACCTTTGTAAATTGGCAAGAAGAAAAGGGCCAAACTAGGGTAAGACCGGCTGAGGTAGGAAAGTGAAAAAGAAAGCAAACCCAAACTTGCATCACCAAAACATGGTATGCCATCTGTCCCTTTAAATATTAAAATACCTCAAGGAGCACTTGGGTGGCCCAGTCGGTTGAGCATCCGACTTCAGCTCAGGTCACCATCTCGTGGTTGGCGGGTGTGAGCCCCGTGTCGGGCTCTGTGCTGACAGCTCAGAGCCCAGAGCCTGCTTCGGATTCTATGTCTCCCTCTCTCTCTGCCCCTCCCCTGCTTGTGCTCTGTCTCTCCCCGCCCCCCTCTCTCTCAAAAATAAACATTAAAAAAAATTTTTTTTAATTATCTCTTGCAAAGATGTATTATAATGCCTGACATTGGAATGGATTTAAAAAAAAAAAACAAAAAAACAAAGAAAACAACACACAAAGGGTCCATTTAAGACACACTGAATGCAGCCACTTACTGGAATTTGAGTTTGGCAGAGGTGAGTACTCAAGGAGCGAGTTGACTTTGGAGCTAGCTCCCCATCAGCAAAGCCCTTGAAGTCACACATGCCCCCAGTGAGCTTACAGAGGAACCACGCCCTGCAAACAAAGAGACCTGAAAGTAATCTGCAACAGAAATGCCACCTCACCAGGCTCTGGCACCGGAGACAAGACTGAAGACCTGATCCTGACTCAGCTGTGGATGCTCGACGTGGCCTCAAGCACGTCACCCTTCTGTGTCCCAGTTGCCTCATAAAAGTGGAGACTCCCTGGAGGCTCTGGGCAAATTGCAATGAGCAAAATGCTCTTTGAAACTGGGAGCATTGTAAACATGCTAAATATCATGAGTGTTACCACCTGAGTCACAAACAATAGCTCCTGCAACACCTAGGTTTTCTCTGAGACGTTCGTGGCCGGTCAATTCCTCCCGACTAGGCTTTGCGTGCGGTAACTTTCCAAACGATGAGGCTGGGCTGTCTGGAGGAGAAGAGGCCCAAGGGAAGGTCGGAGTGTTACAGAATCGAATCACGCCTGTGGGGTCTTTAAAACATTGAGACCAAACCCAAAAAGAACGCAGGCCGTTGAGTGGTGCCGGCTTCCCCTCCCCGATTTGATGGATATGGGAATTTCTTTTTTTAGACATTTGGGTTCCTGGAAGCAGCCGGCAGTGGCTGGGGGAGATCTATTAGGAGATCCCACATCTCACCTAGCTTTCTGCGCAGATGCAATTTCGTGCCTCTGCCCCCCACTTGGTAACTTTCAGATTCGTTAGTTACCTCCTCTTTTTCCGATCTGAAGACTCTGAATGAATTAAAAGCAGCCCTTGTCAGAGAAAGATCTGCCTGACTGACCCCGGTCTGGCCAGGAGGAGCGCGATTGTAGGTGAGGCTGACCAAAACACTCTGTGGATCTATAAATTCTAGAAACTTCCTGATGGTTGTTGGAACCACTACACCCAACCTTTGGAGGGGACCTGTGCTCTCTCTAAGTCCAAGTAATTTAAAGAGCTTCATTAGCATATTCTAAATCTTTGTTCCAGAATTATTCATGACACAGCAGTCAGTCTGGTGGGAGGAGACTTCCATGGCCTTTCTGTATTTGCATGGTGGCAGGAGTGGTTCTGGAAGGCCTAGTTAAATATAGTTGGGCTTCTTTATTGTAGGACTTCTCAGGGCACTTAATATGGCGGCGGGTATTATGAATCTTCAAAATGGGAAGATGCTGTGAGACCCTCTCAAGTTTATTTGGCTCTGGAACTCTCCCCCTGCTGCTGCGACCGCCAACACTCACTTACCTTATGCACCTCGCATGCCAAGAAACACTTTGGGAAAGAGTGCTTTAGAAAAACGCTCTTGCCTAATCTGTTGAGTGACTCAGGATGGAAATGCTACAGACAGTACCACCAGGGAGGGTTTCACCTTCCCACCCTCTTCCTTTGGAGTGAAGAGGAAAGAGGAAAGATGGGTCTTGCCTAGTGGGCAGAGGAGAGAGAGCATAGCGATTCTTCTTGAACTAGAACCTTCCACAGTCATTTATCCGCTGGCCAGCTTGTAAATGAAAACGTGTATTGCTTTATTCCTTTTGACCCATTCCTCTTTAAAATGAGACATCTAGGGGCGCCTGGGTGGCGCAGTCGGTTAAGCGTCCGACTTCAGCCAGGTCACGATCTCGCGGTCCGTGAGTTCGAGCCCCGCGTCGGGCTCTGGGCTGATGGCTCAGAGCCTGGAGCCTGTTTCCGGTTCTGTGTCTCCCTCTCTCTCTGCCCCTCGCCCGTTCATGCTCTGTCTCTCTCTGTCCCAAAAATAAATAAACGTTGAAAAAAAATTTTAAAATAAAATAAAATAAAATAAAATGAGACATCTAGGGGCGCCTGGATGGCTCTGTCGGTTGAGCGTCTGACTTTGGCGCAGGTCATGATCTCACGGTTTGTGAGCTCGAGCCCCACGTAGGACTTGCTGTCAGCGCAGAGTCCACTTTGGATCCTCTGTCTCCCTCTCTCTCTGCCCCTCCCCCACTTGCTCTTTCTCAAAAATAAATAAACATTGGGGCGCCTGGGTGGCTCAGTCGGTTGAGCGTCCAACTTCAGCTCAGGTCACGATCTCGCGGTCCGTGAGTTCGAGCCCCATGTCAGGCTCTGGGTTGATGGCTCAGAGCCTGGAGCCTGCTTCCGATTCTGTGTCTCCCTCTCTCTCTGCCCCTCCCCCGTTCATGCTCTGTCTCTCTCTGTCTCAAAAATAAATAAACATTAAAAAAAATAATAAAAATTAAAAAAATAAATAAACATAAAAAAAAAAAAAAAGAATGAGGTATCTAATCCATACCATATAGTAGGGGCAGACTGCCTGGGTGATAATGTTGGTTCCACTCCTCATCTGATGGAGAAAGTCCAGTCTCCTCATCTGTAAATTCGGGATAATCACAATAACCACTCCCCAGGTTTTTCATGAGGATTAAATGCAACAACCCGTGGAAAGTACTCAGTTAACTATTGCCCAAAACTCAAAGGCAAAGTGCATACAGGGCTGGGGTGACCTTCCTTCTGGGAACATCGGTGAATCCGGACACAGGGGGAGGCCGACTTGGGACTTGAACCCAGGCTCGACTCTGAACAGCTGGGACTCTGGACAAGAACATTCTTGCCCCTGGGAGCACATCCACCCACGTACCATCGGTGGTCCATAGACTGAATGTTGGGACCCACTGCAACCGAGCAAGGGCGAGAAGTTGGTGGGGGTGGGGGTTCGTGCCTTCCCACAGCCTCACCCACTCGCTGTGCTTGTATAGGTAGTGACCCCTATCCCGCTGAGGAAAACCCAGAGCAGTGTTCTCAAGCTTTTAACCATAAAATAATGAGAATTTTCTCGTTTGTTTTATCAGACTCCAATACTTGCCATACCATCCTAGGGTAAAGTGATGTTATCACCAAGTTTCTATGGCTTTTGCCCCTTTTCATTTGGCAAACATTGATTCTGTTTGTTTTTGTGTTTTTTTTTTTAACTGAAAATAGTTTATTGTGGCTTCCTGGAAGGAGTAAGATCAGTTCTACTGAAACAGAAAGATATTGTAGGGTTTTTTGAAATCAGCCATTAGGTCAGGGATCGGAGGCACAGGTGGACAGCAAGCCCCATGGACCCTTGTGCCTTTAAGACATTAGAAGCAAACTTGTTATTTGAGCAATTCAGATTACTTAATCTTAGAAGTAAGACGTGGGGTTTTACTCAGAAGGAAAGCCTTGGCTGGAGGAAGAAAGTCGAAAGCTTCCCATCATATGAATTACCCAACAGCTGATGAGTCAAGAATAAGTGGCCTCAAATGGGATTGGGTGGCAATGCATTTATGGCAACATTATTTTTGCCAAGTCCCAAATATAAGATGAATAACTTGAGTTAGTTTACAGAAGTTAAAACAGGCCAGAACTCGCATCCTCCAAGAGCAAATCCTCAAAGCCTGAGGTCAGTTTATCGTTGTTACTGGCTAGAGTTTCAGCTTTTACAAACTGCTTTTGGACGTAGTGCTGGGCATCATCCCCTTGACGTCTGTCCTTTGGGGCCCCCAGATTATGTAAGACTGCTGATGCCTTTGGCTTTCCCCTTACAGCGTGCCCGGCTGGACACCATCATTTCTAAACACCCTGCAGCTAACGCGTACACTATCCCATCACATTTTGTTTCGAAGAAAGACTTCAGTAATTCCTGTTCCAGCATGTTTCAGTTGCCAAGTTTTGCGAAAGCCCTCAAATCTGAAACTCCTGCACCAAACCATTACAATGTAAGATGTTGGGTATGCTTGTTAAATATGTATCGAATGAATGCTTTACTAAAATAAATGAAGGCGGGGGGGGGGGGGGGGGACAACGATGCTTTGGGAAATATCATTTTAATGCAATTAGTAAATCAGTTAGTATTTGTTGACTGCCCAGTGGGTACCTGAAGCTGGGCAAGGCCTTTAGAGAGAATTTGCAGAACCTGGAGAAAGATGTGAGCAACCCTGGAGGTCAGGGCGGAGCAGTGGGAAGACCAGTCCCTGGAAAACACGGTCATCACTCCTGCCCTAGAATCTTTCTGGGGCACTTTTCTCATCTGTGACAATAGGTATTTACCACCTTATTTTCCACCTGATATTTCCGTATCAGAAATTGTTTTTTTTTAACAGTAACGCCCCACTATGTAGTCACGGAGGCAGAACGGTATGATTAATGGTTCAGAGATGGAGCCAGGTTCAAATGTCCCCTCTGCCACTTTCTGTGTGGCTCTGGGCAAGTCCCTTCAGCTTTCGGGACTCAGTTTGTTGATCTGTAAAATGGGGACACATGTCCACTTCGTGGTATTAATGCAAATGTTAAATTAGGTCATGGATGCTGAGCGCTTGGCACAGCCCTGGGCGCACAGGGTTCCACTATACATGGAGATCAGCAGAACTGTCTCTGGGGAAGTCACGTCACTTCTTGAGCCTCAGCTGTAAAATGGAATCAATTATACTGGCCCTATGGGGTTATTATAAAAAGCAAATAAGACATCAAGTGTGAGAACATAAGACGTGAATTGTACATAAGGTATTAATATCACTATGCCATGCTGCAAAATGTTTTGGTCTTAGAATACTTCATCTTTTTTTTTTTTTTTTTAATTTTTTTTTTTTCAACGTTTATTTATTTTTGGGACAGAGAGAGACAGAGCATGAACGGGCGAGGGGCAGAGAGAGAGGGAGACACAGAATTGGAAACAGGCTCCAGGCTCTGAGCCATCAGCCCAGAGCCCGACGCGGGGCTCGAACTCACGGACCGTGAGATCGTGACCTGGCTGAAGTCGGATGCCCAACCGACTGCGCCACCCAGGCGCCCCGAATACTTCATCTTTAATGTCCTTTTTTAAATATTTATTTATTTTGGGAGAGAGAGAGAGAGAGAGAGAGAGAGAGAGTGAGAGCAAGGGAGGGGCAGAAAGAGAGGGAGAGAGAATTCCTCTCCACTGTCAGCACAGAGCCTGACCAAGGGGCTCCGTCTCACAAATGGTGAGATCATGACCTCAGCGGAAATCGAGAGCCCGATGCTTAACCGACTGAGCCACCCAGGCGCCCCTCCTTTTTCTTTTATAACACTTTCAAGTAATACTTGTTTTTCTGACTACAAGGCCCCTGCCCACCTTCTGTGAGTGGTCAAATCAATTGTAATGTGCTCAAAGCAATATAAGCCTGTGAGGCCAGCACTGTTCAATAGAAATATAATGGGAGCCACATACATCATTTAAATTTTCCCAGTAGCCACATTGAAAAGTAAAAAGGCATAGGTGAAATAATTTTAATAGCATATTCTATTTAGCTCAGTATATTCAAAACATTATTTCAACATCAAATCAATATAAAATTATTGATTATAAGTTTTATTTTTATTTTTTTTAATAAATATTAAAAAAATTTTTTTAATGTTTATTTATTTTTGAGACAGAGAGAGACAGAGCATGAACGGGGGAGGGGCAGAGAGAGGGAGACACAGAATCTGAAACAGGCTCCAGGCTCTGAGCTGTCAGCCCAGAGCCCGACGCGGGGCTCGAACTCACGGACCATGAGATCCTGACCTGAGCCGAAGTCGGACGCTTAACCGACTGGGCCACCCAGGCGTCCCTGATTATAAATTTTATAATTTATAAAATTAGCAGTATCATGTACTTCAGATTGGGTTAGATTGGGTGGTCAGAGAAGGCTCTGAGGCTGACCCGAGGACTGAAGGGAGAGGCAGAGTTGAGGGAACAGCATGTGCAAAGGTCCTGGGACAGTAAGCAGCTTAGCTCTGGGAACTACAAGAAGGTGGCTAGAGTAGCATTAGCTAGGAGAGGGGAGAAGGGGAAGCCAGACACATAGGCAGGGGCCAGTTCACTCAGGACCCTAAAGACCCTGGGAGGGATCTTTAATTTTATTCTCTGTGGGAAGACTTTGGAGGGGGGGCGGTGAGGGGTGTGAGATGACATCATCTGATGTACTTTTTTATTTTTTTTTTTATTTTTTTTCAACGTTTTTTATTTATTTTTGGGACAGAGAGAGACAGAGCATGAACGGGGGAGGGGCAGAGAGAGAGGGAGACACAGAACCGGAAACAGGCTCCAGGCTCTGAGCCATCAGCCTAGAGCCCGACGCGGGGCTCGAACTCACGGACCGCAAGATCGTGACCTGGCTGAAGTTGGACGCTTAACCGACTGTGCCACCCAGGCGCCCCCTGATGCACTTTTTTAAAAAGCTCCCTCCAGCAGCCATATGGAGAAGGGACCGTGGTGTGGGCGAGGAGTGGCTTTTGAAAAACCAGTTAGAAGGCTCTTACACTAACAGGAGAGAGGTCAAGGCCCGGTCCAAGAAAGTGGTAATAAAGGTTCTTGGCCACCGCAAAATGCCTTTGCCATTCCTGACACAGGTACTTAGTGTTTCACACACCTGCCTCCCCAGCCCACTGGGTGCTCCTTCACTTCACATCTCCGGTGCCCCGTGCAGGGCCTGGCATGCCAAGCACTTGGCGATAAGTGTTTATGACATTGAAGGAATTACCCCCAGTAGCGTGTAGCTGCTCATCTAGAAAAGACCGCTTCCCAAGACAGAGTTCGGACCTTCTGCCAACGGATCCATTTCAAGTGCATGTTTTTTTGTTGATTATGGTTTTAATGTGACTGTGAAAAGCGTCCATGCTCCTCCTAAAACATATTCGAGCATTATAGAAATGCTTGAGCTAGGAAAGTAGAAGCCTCTTGTGATTCCGCTCTCCGAAGCAAACCGCCATTCAAAACAGGTGCAGTTTCGTTCACATTCTCCTCCTCCCCCATCCCTCCTTCCAGCAGTAGGATTACGTTATCCACAGTACACGCGCGTTTTCTACTCCACTGTATCTTGGATTTTCTTCCTGTTTCATTTCTTCTTTTTCCCCCAACCTGCTAGCGGAGTGGACTGTTTTCCTCGTCTCATGGTGAAATCTTCCAGTGACAAAAATGCTCCCTTTTGCAGTTGTTTTTCTGTCTGGGGGAGGAATAAGGCCGAGATCGTGTTTTGTCTACCGGAGGCTTTTTTCAGACCCGGAGAACAATGGTTGAGTCAACTGGCAAGAAGCAGAACTGCGCTAATCCTGTTAGCCACGCGGTGCAGTGAGGTCTGGCGGGGCCTCTCTTCCCCTCTGCTTACCACAATCCCCCCCCCCGCCTCTCTATTCGGCTCCTTTTTCGTGGTACTGTGTGATTACTTCCTCTCCAGGCAGCCTGGCCCCTGGCCCTCTGTCCAGTAATTAGCCTCTCCACCCGATGTTTTTGTTTGTCCTCCCTGCATGCATTCTAGCCATTAGGACCCCGGGAAAAGCTAAATTCCTCCGCCTTTGTAAACACAAAATCGAAAGGCCATCTGCACTTCTCGCGAAACATTTTCTTGACAAAGGAGTATCTCGGAAAATCAAACCATCTGGGCCCCAGCACATAGTTTCACTTGTTCAGTAAATAGGCCCGGTCATGGCATATCCGATTTTTATTGCACCTTTATCTAATGAATACAGGGGACTGACTGCCAATTGGCATTTAAAATATTTATGATTCACGTATCACAGAAGAATGATCTCAGTGTTCTTGGGCGGCCCCGGCGGGGGTGGTGGGGGGGGGGGGGGGAGGGTGGGTGGTGGATGGATCAGTCAAAATGCTTGATTTCTGGTCGGTCCAGAAAAGTCAGGACAAGGGAGCGTTGTAAATCTGATCGTAATCTTAAATTACATGACGCCCTGGTGTGCCCCAAATCCTGCGTTTATAGAAGGGCTGTTTGAACAGTACAGAATCAGGGTGGAGATATCTAGGACTAAGTGTATTGAAAGGAACGAAAGGCATAGAAAAAATTATGAAAATAACGTGCATGTGTGGTGTCGCAGACTTACAGAAAAATCCCCGTCCTATAGACGAAGTCTGTCACCAGCATAAACTCCATCGAGTAGAGCAGGGATTATCGGGTCTGCTTTACAGGTGAGAAAACCCAAGTTCAGAGAAATTGAACACCTCGTGCAGAATCACGCCCCGTGTGGGGCAGACGCGGGCCTGGCAGCCAGGTCTTCGGGTTCTCTTCCGGGCACGGTCCTCTGCGCCATGTTGGGTGACCAGACATCTGAGGGTGGTCACAAACTCGCGGACCGCTCTAGCTGAGGCGACCGAAAAGGCACTGGGACCTTTTCCGTTCACGTCAGTTCATTTTGTGAGGACAGGCTTAAACAGATTTTTTTTTTTCTTTTTTTTTCTTTCTTTTTTTTTTTTTTTTTTTACCCCAGTGTGCCCCTTGTCTGGGCTTGATGACAAAGAGAAAGAAAGGGAAGGCATTGGGCACACCGTGCTTGTTTTCTCCCCTGTCCCCAGGCCTCTGTCTCTTGCTGCAAGCAAAGAAACAACGTCTGTGCCCGAGCCGGGTTTATGTCCAAAACCCAGAGAGGATTTTTCACTATCACTGACACAGGACCTGCCCCAGGTAAGCAGCCACCTTGCACTGGCCTTGACCTAAGGGTTGATGGACCAGATCTGCTCCGCAGGGCACCACTGCTCCGGAGTGAGTCTCTTCGGAAGGAGTTAGGCTTTGGGGGAAAGGGGATGTTGAGCAGGTGTTGAACAAAAAGGAGAAGGCTGGGGAGAAGGCGCTGCTCTGGAAATGGCCCCCAGAGGAGCTTCGCTGGCCTCCCCTTTCAGGACCGGGTGCAGCTTCCCTGGGCAGCCAGCTGGGGAAGCGGCTTCTCGCCTCAGAAGTGTGCACGCTCACACGCCCCAGGTGCCATCCGGGGCCAACGGGGCCCTCAATACGCTGAGTGTCCAGATCCTTCCTTTCCTCCTGAGCCCAGAGCTGACTTCATCAACTAGTCACTGACCGACGGACAGTAGCTCCGTTTACTGAGCACCTACTCGGTGCTAAGTATTTTCTGTGCAGCCCTCACACACCTGTCTTCCTCGTGGGCCCGCATTTCAGGTGAGGAGAGGGGGCTCCGAGAGTGGAAGTGACCTGCTTGGTGTCACGCAGCTAACACATGGCAGGCCTAAGTCCAGAGGTGTCTGACTGAGGAGGCTGCTGCCCCTGTGAGCCCCTCGTGACTTCTGGAACTGCCCCAAGAGGGGGCTTGCAGGCGTCTTCCTCCCTGGGCTGGGAGACGTCTGTTCGCTCAGACCCGCTCCCCGCTTCCTGCCTCAGCCAGAGGTTTCCAGAGAGAGGTCTGGTGATGCTGCCACTGGTATTCCGGGAGCCCTTGTCACCTGCCCGCTGGGTCCTGAAGACGCCCCCCCCCCCCCCGCCCTGCCCCGAGGGAGCCGTGAGCCCCAGAGCTGAGGGGAGGAACAGGGAGGAGGGGGGTGTGGATAAAGTTGCAGCACACTTCAGATTTCACCAAATCCCGATTAAAGCTGAGAAGATCAGTCCGAAGCTGAATAACAAAACCAGCCCTAATTAGGAGGCTAAGCCCCGCTAAAGCTCCCGGCCTTGCATCATCACAGGCAAAGCCCCACCTTGTTTGTTTATACAGAACAAAGCCGGCAGCCCTGGAGTTTGGCCAGAGGCCCTGCCAGCGAATCGCGCCCCCCCCCCCCCCCAGGTGGGCACCTTCTCAGCCAGCCGCCTGAGCCCACAACCCAGCAGGAGAGGGAGAGGTGGGCACCAACGTCTGTGAAGCTCCTACCGGGTGCCACAGGGTCTCCATTTGTCAGCCAATGATGTCCAGATGCCGCGGGGTGTTCGGCCAGCATGCCGTCACGTGCTCAGAAGGCGTGAGCCACTGCGATCGTCGACCCCCGTCTTATAGACAAAAAATGACACCTCGAAAGCAGGCCCAGGGGCCCGTCGGTGATCTGAATCCAGGCCCATCCGGATTGGCGCCTGCTGCCTCAGAAACCTGCTGGGGGGAGCTGCCCTCCTGGGAGAAACAATCAGCCCTGACCTCTCAGAAATACCTCTGGTTGTTTCTTCTTCCCCCGCTGGGGGAAAACAGATGCGGAGCTGTGACTGGCGGCCCGGCTGGCCCGGGCCCCTGTCCCAGCAGCTCTGAGGGCCCCTACCTCAGGGGCGGAGGGCCAGGACCCGCCCGCCTTCAATTCTGAGCCAAATGCTCACCTCCACACGTTTGCTGCTTGGGTTTTCTAAAGTTTACATCTGCCAAGCTCATCAGGAATGTCCTCCTCTCTCTTTTTCCTCAAAATAGAAGAAGCTTCTTACAGTTAAGGGAAACACCTGTGTTAAAGTGTCACTTGAGAAATGGGGGTTGCAGAATCGAATCTGCACAGTGGGCTCAGCAGCAAGTAGTTTTCCAACCACACTCCGGAAAAGACCCCAAGGAAATGCACCAGAGCTTATACTGGGTTCTCTCTGGGCCGTAAGATCACAGGCGCCTGTTTTGTCCTGCTTCTGCTTTTCAGCATTTGATAATCAAGCGTTGCTTTAACCTTTCTGTGGGAGGGGAAAACATATTTTATACAGCATATATACAAATGTATACATATTTACACATGAATGAGAGAAAAATAAACCTAATACGAGAGATGTATCCCAATATTATAAAGGCTGCAAACTGGACATTTACTTAAAAAAATTTTTTTCAATGTTTGTTTATTCTTGAGAGACAGAGACAGAGACAGAGCGTTAGTGGGGCAGGGACAGAGAGAGACACGCACAGAATCTGAAGCAGGCTCCAGGCTCCGAGCTGTCAGCACAGAGCCCGACACGGGGCTTGAACTCACAAACTGTGAGATCATGACCTGAGTTGAAGTTGGACGCTCAACCCACTGAGCCACTCAGGCGCCCTGATGGTTCAACTTTTAATGTTTATTTTTTGAGAGAGAGAGAGAGAGAGAGAGAGCGAGCAAGTTCAAGTTGGGCAAGGCAGATAGAGGAGGAGACACAGAATGTGAAGCAGGCTCCAGGCTCTGAGCGGTCAGCACAGAGCCCCATGTAGGGCTCAAACTCATGAACCATGAGATCATGACCTGAGCAGAAGCCAGGCGCTTAACTGAATGAGCACCCAGGCGCCCCCCTGCTTTTTAAAAAAATTTTTTTTAATGTTTATTTTTCTTAAAAAAAATTTTTTTTTAACGTTTACTTATTTTTGAGATAGAGAGAGACAGAGCATGAATGGGGGAGGGGCAGAGAGAGAGGGAGACACAGAATCTGAAACAGGCTCCAGGCTCTGAGCGGTCAGCACAGAGCCCGACACGGGGCTCGAACTCACGGACCGTGAGATCATGACCTGAGCCGAAGTCGGACGCTTAACTGACTGAGCCACCCAGGAGCCCCTAATGTTTATTTTGAAAGAGAGAGAGAGAGAGAGAGAGACAGAATCTGAAGCAACTTTTTTAAAACTTTAGCATATATTGGGAACATCTTTTCATGCTATTAAAACCCTTCTAAGAATATCATTTTTTGAAATGGCTGTTTGGTATTCCATCCCATGGCAGTACCATAAGTTAAGGAACAAATGGCCTCTTACTGGAAATTTAGGTTGTTTTAAACCGATCACCAATATAAGTAGAGAGGCAGCAAACATCCTTGTAGCTCACAGCTTGTGTAAAATCAAGAGTATTTCCTTATATTAATTACTTAAAGCGGAATTGCTAAGTCAGAAGCATGTAGAATAGTTAAGGTTTTTTTTTTTTTTTTGTATACATTGGTGGCCAAATTGTTCTTCAGCAGAGGGATTAGTTTCCTCCTGCTGCTGTGAGGTAACTGTTTTTCCCCACCTCTGGTATTATCATTTAAATAAAATCTTTCTAATACGTACCATATTGTTTTCAGTACTTTTGCAATGGAAAAGTACATCTTTGGGGCGCCTGGGTGGCTCAGTCGGTTGAGCGTCCGACTTCAGCCCAGGTCATGATCTCACGGTCCGTGGGTTCGAGCCCCGCATCGGGCTCTGTGCTGACAGCTCAGAGCCCGGAGCCTGTTTCAGATTCTGTGTCTCCCTCTCTCTCTGACCCTCCCCTGTTCATGCTCTGTCTCTCTCTGTCTCAAAAATAAATAAACATTAAAAAAAAAAACACTTTAAAAAAAAAAGTACATTTTTATTGAAAACAAAGTCAACTTCACCATGTTTAGAAAATTTGAAATATTTTTCCCGCCCATAGTGTAACTGTAATTACTAATTACACTCATGTAATCGCTTCCACTTTTCTGGGTTCCCATCTGTTTTTTTAAGGTGTATTTATTTGTGAGAGAGAGAGAGACAGAGCATGAATGGGGGAGGGGCAGAGAGAGGGGGAGACACAGAATCTGAAACAGGCTCCAGGCTCTGAGCCATCAGCCCAGAGCCCGACGCGGGGCTCGAACTCATGAACCGTGAGATCATGACCAGAGTCGAATTCCGACACGACACTCGACTGACTGAGCCACCCAGGTGTCCCCCACCTATTTTTATTCAGATGTATCCATTTGTACCTGGACATCATCATAGTATGGGAAATTTTAGGCATTATTTTGCTTTTTTTCACTCACCTTTATTTTTCCAAAACATTGCCGTGTGGCTTCTGGTCTCCGTATTTGTTGTGTCCAGGCTCATATTCCACCGGGTCGGGCTGCTGTTCCCACGACAGTACCCCTGGCCTTGGATATTCAGGCCACTTAGCCCTTCTCACACTGCGGTTACTGCTGTTACGTGAGTCTCTACGCTTAGAGCTTTTCCTGCATGTTGAATAATTCCCTTAATTTCTGAGTAGTGGGTCCAGATGTCCTCAAGGCTTTCGCTCTGCACCGCTGCTTTGCATTTGAAAAACACCTGCACCCACCTGCAGGGCTTCTGACAATTTAGGGGAGACTGCCTTTACTTCCCCCCCAGCCCGGGTCATTGTCTTCCTCCTTGAAGCAAGTTAATTTTATTCTCTCTTGAAGCAGGGCATAGTGGGAAAGCACGGACTTTGGAGACAGGTGGCCCTGGGCCCACGTAGTAGGTGCTCAATAAATATTTGTTGATTGCATAATAGTTACTAAACAACGACTATACGCCTGGAACTAAAATATTACTGTTGTTGGAAGAATTATTCTTACCTTATAGCAAAGGAAACTGGGCCTACTTCCTAGTGAGATGAAATGTGGGGGGCAAATTATTCGCTACCTCTGAGTCTTCATTTCCTCCTTTTTGGAATGGAGGTGACAATTACCCATGTAGCTGGGCTTCTGTGAGGATTCAATGAGCTAAGTATGTGATGCACATGGCCCATGTTCTCCATTTTTCGGGGCGCCTGGGTGGCTCAGTAGGTTAAGCATCCGACTTCAGCTCAGGTCATGATCTCACGCTCTGTGAGTTCGAGCCCCGCGTCGGGCTCTGTGCTGACCGCTCAGAGCCTGGAGCCTGCCTCGGATTCTGTGTCTCCCTCTCTCTGCCCCTCCCCCGCTCAAGCTCTGTCTCTCTCTGTCTCAAAAATAAATGAAAACATTTAAAAAAAAATAATAAAGGGTATTATTTTTCAGGCAGCCCTCCCATTTGACCATCTTGGAGTGATCCCACCTTATAGTCATTAAATGTATTCTTAGGTGTAAGGTACTGCTTTTTATTTATTTGGGACAAGTTCCTTACTCTGTTTTAAAATGTCTTTCTTCTTAGGGCATTATAATATCAACGAATCCCTCGTGAAGCAGTCGCCAAAGGTATTGACGTCTTGTTTTAAATCAAAAACTGGACGTGGATTAAAACTGACATCAACAGGCCCGGGACCTGCTTATTATAACCCCAATGACCACATCAAAATTCTGAAAAAGGCTCTTTTCCCGTGAGTCCTGATTATTCTGATCTTTCTTTTGAAAGGCGGTTCTGGGAAAGGACCCAACATGAGCAGAAAAGGGAGGGGTGTCACTGCTTGGCAGAACATGGCGCCAGGTCACTCACTCTCCAGGGGCCCTTGTGACATAGTAGGTGCTCAGGAAATACTTGCTGAATGCATATTTATTGAGCAACTACTATGCACCAGGAACTTAGCATCCTATTCAACCATCGTAGTACCCCGGTTGCAAGAATTATTATTCTTACTTCATAGGTAGGTTTCAGGGCAGCTAAGGAGCTGCCTAAGTCCACACAGCTAACTTGAAATGCCGCTAGGAATCAGGCTCAGGACTGTCTGGATCTTTCCGCATTCCTCGTGATGTTGTGTTTATCCTGGTGCTGACATTATTCTATATTTTTTAAAAAAAATTTTTGATGCTTATTTATTTTTGAGAGAGAAAGAGACAAAGTACGAGCGGGAGAGGGGCAGAGAGAGAGAGAGGGGGATACACAGAATTGGAAGTAGGATCCAGGCTCTGAGCTGTCAGCACAGAGCCTGACGCGGGGCTCGAACTCACGAACCACGAGATCATGACCTGAGCCGAAGTCGGACGCTCATCCAACTGAGCCACCCAGGCGCCCCGACATGATTCTACTTTTATAACATAAAATCTCTACTGGGGTAGCAGGATACACGGCAGCATGGGGCCGTTCGAGTTTTGCACTGATAAGCTGGAAGTCCAGACTTTGGAGTTGGTCAGACCTGCTGGATTTGAACTTCAGCTATGCTGTTTTCATGCTGTGTGACCTTGGCCATGGTACTAAGCCCTCTGAACCTCCAAGGCCTCATCTGTGAAGCAAAGTGGGGACAGTCCATGCCTCATAGTGTTGCTTTCAGATTTTATAATACATGTTTGGCATGTAGCAGGTGAGAAGGTGACAATATTCACACCAATTTAAAAAGCGAAGCCCAGGATTTGTGTTAACACGTTTAATATCCGGTGCATTTAATGTTACTTTCACCTAACAGGTTCGAAGGTTCACAGGGCTTACTTATTCCTCAGATGGTTCTAGAACTTCTGGAACTAACTGCCAGGTCAGTCTGCCTGTCGCCATCTGAGGCCTCACCCGGGTATTGTCCTCTGCAGGCAGGATTGGCCACTGGGCAGGCTGACCTGCAGAAGACCCCTCCAAAGAGGTCAGGCAGGTGGTCAGGCTCATACCCACAGTGGGTCAGACGTCCAGGCAACCCGGGAGACTGACAACATTGGGCATATACTCTGACCATCAGTCCAGGACAAGGAGATGGGGTGGGGGGAGAGGAGCAGGAGATGAACCTTCCGTGCCAGACTTAGGATCTGGAGAAGGGATCCAGACCTCAGATGGAATCCACTGGAGAAGTCCCTTCTGCCCTTCGGTTCTTGGGTTCTGCAGGTTGAGCCTTCACGGGCTCCAGGGCTCAAAACCGGGGCAGGATAGTCTCCAGGGACACGCTCTCTCTGAACACCAGGGACTTACCGCCTCCGGGCTGGCTCAGGGCACCCCTGCACACCTTCCCTTACTGTCCCGACGAAGAGAGTGGGTAAGAGGACAGGCTTCGGAGTCAGCAGACCTGGGCGTGAGTCACGGCTCTGTCCCTTTCTTCTCTCCGAGCCTGTCTCCCAGTTATGAAGCGGGAATAAGAGTCTCGTCTCGTAGGGCTTCTGTGAGGGTTAGACGAGAAATGTTATCGTTAGAGCTGCTGCTGTTCCGTATCCTATAGGCGTATGAGCGTACAGGGGACGGCTGTTGCTTGGCGCGAGCCGCTCAGGCTCCTAGCTCGAATCTGGAAGCTTCTTTGAGGAAATGGTGAGAAGGAGAGTGGAGAATACTCAGCGTTGAACCGCTTGCCCCAGAGAAGTGCTGTGTGGCCTTTGCTGAAGTTTGAACGGGTGGTTGGGGATAATTCCCATCTCACGGCATTTGCGTCTGTTAGTCAACAGGCCCTGTAGGTTTCTGGGTCTGTGCCGGAGGCCGTGGGGGTGCTCGGGTGAACAGGGCACTGTACACGCCTTTAGCTAGGCTCACCTGGGAACAACTCCAGAGCAAGGCAGAGGAGGGGTAGCAGAATGCTGGAGCATATGGCCCCAAGGTTGTGTGGCCACACAGATCCCGAGAGCAGTCTTTCCAGCAGGTGCAGTGCGGTGGTGCTGGTGTGTCTGGGGGTGTCTGGGGATCACTGGCTCTCTGTGGGGCTTTGCGAGTGACAGATCTTTGGTTAATAAGTCTAGGAAGCCCTGCATATGAACCCTGTACCTCTGGGAGCATCACTGTGTGCATGGCCTAATTAAAGGTTCTGAGATGTCCCGACGTAAAACAACAACAACAACAACAACAACAACAACAAAAACCCCAAACCCTACTAAACCCAATGTCTCTTAAACTTGGGTTCACCCTGGTGAGTAGATAGACCCCCCACTTGGGTTCACCCTGGTGAGTGGATGGTGCCCTGGGCAGGACATTTGGTTAAGAGCCCCTATGGTCTAGGTGGCTCTTAGCACCTCCCTCAGCCTTCATTTCATCATGTGAGAAAAGAGGGGAAGTCTCTTCGTTTCCAACACTCCACGACCCTGTGCTTGCTCACCATGGCATTCAGGAGAGCATATTGGGGGCAGTGAACGTAGAACCAGCCTGGACTCCCAAAGGAAGCCCAAAATATATAAACATTAAAAAATGAAATTTTTTAATGTTTGTTTATTTTTGACAGAGAGAGAGAGACAGAGAGAGAGAGAGTGCGTGCAAGTGGGGGAGGGGCAGAGAGCTAGAGAGGGAGACACAGAATCCGAAGCAGCTCCAGGCTCTGAGCTGTCAGCACAGAGCACGAGGCAGGGCTCGAACTCATGAACCACAAGATCGTGACCTGAGCCGAAGTTGGATGCTTAACCACCTGAGCCACCCAGGCGCCCCCAAAATATATAAATTTTTAATTGACATGGAAAGGATGAAGCTGACAATCTGTAATTGTATTTAAAAAACAAAAAGATAAAACTCAAGTGTGCTTTGGGTTAGCCTAAATAAACATCCATCTGCTTATGTTGAATAATGAAGAAATGGGTTAATATAAGGAAAAGATACAGCTGGATGTCGTGGTATGGAGGGAGAATCCAGACTCCTGTCTCTCAAACTGGTGTTCTGTTTCCTCTCCTGTGTCCCTGGAGGGAAGAGAGGGACAGGAGCTGGGGGCCACCTGCTGGGATCCTCAGGGCCCTGAGAAGGTCTGCGTTGCTTCCTCCCCATCTCTATGTGACTTCGTTGGGACTTTATCCACGCTAAGCCTGAGCACATTTAGCTCTCCGGGGCTGCGTGGGGCAACTGAGAAACCTCGCATGTTTCTTTTGGGCAAACACAGGCGTCACACCCATGTGACGTGATTTGAGGCCTGTCCTTATTTGTCTACGATTGCGAACACTTGGCTCCCTATCTGGAGGGGAGGGTCCTAGCCTGCAAAAATAATCTTTCGGCTCTGCTTTCTTGAGGACGCAGAATCGGGAGATGTTACTTATCCCTACAGTTGTTAGTCCCGTGTTCCCCCCCAACAAAAGTGAAACCCAGGGAGGGGAGGGTTGGGTGATGTCCTGGGAATGGTCGGGAGGCCGGCAGGGGGCCAGGCATGGGCCTGTCTTGTCTCCACTCCCCTGGCCCAGCCTGCAGAGCGGAGAATGGGCTGCGGAGGCAATGTGGCCTGGTGGAAAGCACAGGCTCCAAGTCAGGCCAGCGCCGAGCATCCCGACTTGCCAGCTCTGGGGGCCTGGGGGCGGGGAGGGGGTCACCTCACTCCCAGAAATTCAAATTCAACCCTGCAGATCGTGAAATGAACACTTCATAATGTGCTTGCAAGGCTGAAATAACTCACATAACTCACTGGGTCTGGCACACGGTAAGCTTTCCATACATGTAACTTGCATTTTTATCGAGGTCTGTGAGCGGGTCCTCTGCGCTCACCTGGTGCTTCTTGGGTGGCCCTCGGAGGGCAGATGCTGTGCTAAGGGCTGGCAGGGTGTTAGGATGACCGTTTCTGGGCTCCCTAACTGAAGAACAGGGCACAGGTGTCTCTGCCGTGGCCACCTTGCCGACTCAAAGCTAAGGGCATTTATCAGCTCCCAGGGGGGTCTTTAGGAGAGAAGAGAAGTGTCACAGTGATGGCTCAGTGAATCAGGGTGAGTCAGGAGAAGGGCTATTTTGGAGATCAAAACGGTCCCTCCCGGGTGCTGTCATCAACAACGAGGGGAAACGCCCACTGACATCTTCCTAACCCTTGATCTACTTCCTGGAATTTTTAAGCCACTGGTTTTGCACAGACACGCTGTCCTGCCACAGCCAGAGCTGAAGAATCAAACCCTGTTGGCCCCTCTCCAATCTGGGTAATTACGATGACCCACCTAACGTTCCCCTGGGATTTTCAATTAGCTATGGGATGCTTCTTCCCAAGCGCTGTAATCTGTCACCCTCTACCCTGTTAAACAGAGAGTGCATTCCACCCCAGAGGCAACCAGCTGCCCTTTAATGATGAGAAAAAATTGCCCCTTTATCCCTCCCCGACCCTGGGAATCCCCGGGGCAGAGTGAATCGTGCCGGTGCCTGGGAGTGTCCCGAGGGGTCTCAGATGCCTTCCCCCAGTGACCTGCTGAGTCCTCTGCGACATTCATTATTCTCGGGCGATTTGCAAACAGCTCACATTGGAAGCTGCAAACATACTTAATCCAGTTGTGGCCAACTCAGAGCCTTTGATAGATGTTTTCTTTCTACGGGGCAGGACCCAGTTGGCTTTTATAACTGAGCAATGAGGCTCATAAAAGCTCCGGTCACAATGCACTGAGGGCTGGCCTGGGTTTGATCCAGCCGGACCTTTGTGATCTGCCCAGCCCCACCTCGCCGTGGAGGGAGCAGCCCTGGACGATGATAAAACTGTCAGGTGGGGCTCAGATGTCTGGGCTCCCCTACTTGGTGCAACCTCTCTGTTTTCCCTACAGTTCAGCAAATGTCCTGGGAGTAGGGAGGGGGCCTCAGAGATGAGTCACACGCAGTCCCCTGCCGTAAAGAGCTGGGCACATAAGGAGCGTAGGAAACCCAGCACGTTCTGTGCGGAGAAAAGAAGAATGGCTAGAACATCGCGAGGGCTCAGCCACACCGAGCTAAGAGCGTTGACGGATGTCCCTTAGTGCCATCCCGGCGCCCCTGCAGGGCACTAACTACTGCCACGTAGAATACAGATGAAGCTGGTGGGGCAGGGAGTGGCATGCAGGTCCGGCTGCCTCCAGATTCCATGCTCCTCTGTGGAGCCACAGGAAGAGCGGTGGCGGAGGGGGAGGGGGAGGGCAGTGGCCACAGAAGTTTCCCAGAAGGACATGAGAAGGGAAGAATGATCAGAGTTTGCAGGGACAGTAGGTGCTCCTGGCAGGAGGAATAGCACGGGCCAAGGCGTGGAGTGGCTGAAGACTGAATCTGTGTTGGGTGTTTCTGGAAGGTCAAATGGGAGCAAGGGGCCTAGGGGGTTAGGCTGGGTTAGGAGTTTTTCCTTCGGCTTCTCTCAGGGTCTCTGAGGGTGGATGGCCAGAAGCAGGTGAACAGCCTAGAAGTCCTGGGTGCGTTGAGGGCTGAAGGCCGTCTGGGAGGCTCGGCCTCTGCCTCCCTGTCCCAATTCCTGCCACGTGCAGCCACAGCTCGTGCCTTGTCCGTGCCTTTGCCCCTCCTGTTTCCTCGGCTAGAAATGCCGCCTCCCCCACCTCTTCTACCTGAAGAATCCCTGCTTACTTTTCAGGGCAAAGGTTATCTCTTCTAGGGTAGATTTCTGGGTTCACTTAGTGGGAATCTCTCTCTCTCTCTCAGTGCAGTGTTTTTACCTCTATTCTAACATTTCATGCTTAAAAAAAAAACCACATACTAATACAAGTAAAGAAAGCACCAGTTAAACTTCATAACGATCCTGGATGGAAGGTATTATTATCCCCCACTTTACAGATGAAGAAACTGAGCCTCAGGGAGGCTAGGAGACGTCTCTAAGGACACACGGCTGGTGAGTGGGGAAGTGCAGATTCAAACCCAAGTTTGGGTGCAAAGCCTGTACTTCCTTAAGTTGTCACCAGTCACGACTGTCGCCAGCCGTGAATTGTCAAGCCCTTGGGAGCATTCAGGGTCTGTGTCTTAGCACAGAGTGCCTGGCACAGAGCTGCACACGTGGCTGGCACTCTTTATTTATTTTTTAAGTTTATTGATGTATTTTGAGACAGAGGGAGAGAGAGAGAGAGTATGGGAGGGGCAGAGAGAGAGAGAGAGGGAGACAGAGAGAAAACCAAGCGGGCTCCACGCTGCCAGCACAGAGCCCGAGGCGGGGCTCGAACCCACGAACTGTGAGATCACGACCAGAGGTGAAACCAAGAGTCGGACACTTAACCGACTGAGCCACCCAGGTGCCCCTGGCACTCTTTAAAGGTCCAGGCAGCTGAGCTGTCACAGCTGAGCCTCTCCCGGGCACGCTGACGGGGTGGAGGGCACGGGAGCGCTCTAACCCCTCTGGCCAAGAATCCTGATGAGACACGGGCCCAGCCTCCTACAGGCTGTTCCTGGTTAGGAACGTACATACCTCATGGCCTTCTCGAAGATCAGGGCGAGGGCGTGAGCCAGACCGACGGGGTGACCTCATGCAATGGTTGGCCCGTTCCAGCTGCGGCGGTGAGGAATCCAGCCTGTCTCCCAGGGATGCCAGTGACACACTCATCCAATTTCTGGGGGTGCTTTGAAGGGGCGACAGAAGACAGAACAAGGAGAAGCCAGCTTTTATCTCCGAGGGGAGAAGTGGTTGATCACACACTATAACCAGTTCGCCCATGTCAGCTGGAGGGGAAGAAAGAGGCAATGTTTTCTCTCCTTTTTCTGTGGGCACCTTTGTTCTAAATAGAAGCATCCACGCCAGCTGTTCCTCCATTATTAGATGTGAGCCTCCGGCAGATTTACCATGACTTTCAGGGGCCTCCCCTGGCCGGCTGGCCTGCCTCAGGTGAGTCTGTGGGGAGTGGGGGGGGGGGGGGACCCTGGCGTCTCTTTCCTGAGCCTGGTTCGTCCTCTAAGACCAAGCAGGAGGCAGTGGCTTCCAGGAGCATCATCATAACAGTGGCCACTTTTATTGAGCACTTACTGTGGGCTCTGCTCGGTGCTTCCATACCTTTCCTCCATTCTTGACCTCCCTTATAAAGAGAGGGTGCGGTTTCTCCCTCCTGCAGGCATAGAGAGGTCCAGGGGCTTGTCTGAGGTCCCACAGCCAGTAAGCGGGATGACAGGAATTCAGACGCAGGTCTGCGTAACTCTAAAACTCAAAGAGTCCCCTCTGCCATGATGCCTTCCCCAAATTGCTAGGCCCCAGAGACTCAAGTTCTGGTGTTGTCGTTACCGCTCATTTGCTCGGCAACTTTGGGTGAATACTTTCTCTCTCTGAGTGCCAGTTTCTTTAGCACAATAAGGAGGGTGGATAAGACATCTCTAGGTCCCCTCTAGCTCTCCAAGTTTTTTTTTTTTTTAACGTTTTTTTTTTTATTTATTTTTGAGACAGAGAGAGACAGAGCATGAACGGGGGAGGGGCAGAGAGAGGGGGAGACACAGAATCGGAAGTAGGCTCCAGGCTCTGAGCCATCAGCCCAGGGCCCGACACGGGGCTCAAACTCACGGACCGAGAGATCGTGACCTGAGCCGAAGTCGGACGCTTAACCGACTGAGCCACCCAGGCGCCCCTACTCTCCAAGTTTTAAAATGCCTTTGCTTCCGGGGCGCCTGGGTGGCTCAGTCGGTCAAGCGTCCAACTTCGGCTCAGGTCGTGATCTCGCAACTTGTGAGTTCGAGCCCGGCGTCGGGCTCTGTGCTGACAGCTCAGAGCCTGGAGCCTGCTTTGATTTCTGCGTCTCCCTCTTTCTCTCTCTCTGACCCTCCCCCACTCACGCTCTGTGTGTGTGTCTCTCTCTCAAGAACATTAAAAAAAAACCTTTTTTTTTTTTTAAATGCCCTTGCTTCCAAAGGTGTCAGCAAAAGGTAAGTGTTGTGCAGAGGTCTCTTGATTTCCACTCCCACGTCCTGCCTTGCCAGGAAGATACTTAGTAGGATTCGGCATGCCCGTGCTGGAATGGTCTCTTGAGATCTACTAGTCTTGGGATGGCAAATCCTTGGAACTCAGGATGCCTCGTCCCACTTCCTGGCCATGGCAGATATCACAAGTGGATCACCCATGCTCTTTCCTTAGAGCCCACGCGAGGCCGGAGTTCTCTACACGGAGCCCCAGCCGGGCGCCACCGGGTGATCAGAATTGGCACGTGTCTGCCCTCTCTGGTTAGTTCAACGACATCATCTGCAACACCTCGTGCCGCGCTCTCACTGTGCTGGGCGCTGCCCGGACTTCTGTGTTACAGATGCCTCATCCCATTGAACCCTGGCGGTAAGCCTATGAGGAAAGTACTGTGAGAACCGCCACTGCGCAGAAGAGAACACTGAGGTCCGGGGGCCCCCGGCTCCCCGGCGGTGGAGCCACGGCCCTGCCCAGCCGCCCCGACGACTCGGTGCTGGGCAGGTCTTGGCCACGTCTAGAAACAACCGTTTCCCCAGCAGACTGCCTGAGCACCGTCTTCACATTTTGTCTCTTTTTGAAGGAGAAACCCCCTCCTGAACTTCTCTGCCCAGCCTTCGCCCCTGCCCCCGAAGCCGCCTCTTCCAGGCCCCGGTCAGTACGAGATCGTGGACTACGAGGGGCCCCCCAGACACTTCACCTCCAGCGCATCGTTTGCGTCCAACACCAGCCGGTGGACAGCAGCCCCGTCCCAGCCCGGCCTGCCCGGCCCAGGTCAGAGGATTGTTTTAAATGATTGTAAAAACCAAATCTGGAAGTGTTTGTCATTCCTGGGCCATCAAATGTCACTGATTTATGGGATGTTTGCCAAGAAGGTTACAGAGGTTAGAGTCGATCCGGAAGACTTTTAGGCCTGCGCTTTTGGAGTATGAAAGGATTTTCTTTGAGGTGAAAGGACTCTTGGAGTTAATCCCGTCCAGGGGTTCATAACCAATGACCGTGAATGTCCGAGAGGCTCGGAGATGGGATCCGGACCCCCAGAGGGGTCTGTGACCCTGAGACTGCCTGCAGATTTGGAGCATGAAGACATTATTATTATTGTCACTATTATTATTATTTTGGAGAAAGGGGCCATAGCACTTTGTCAGATGGGTCAACAATTTCACCGTTCTTGAAAGTACTTAAATCCCTGGCCTGATCTGGCAGAGTCACCCTATAGCTGGGGAAGACCTGGAGAGCAAGTTGTGCACTGAGCCACAGTGAGAGAGCGGCAGGGCAGAGTGCCACGCCGTTTCCCCCCTGTGCCCTGTTGTCGTGAAACAAGCCGGGGACTGTTCATTGGAGCAGCTCCCGTGAGCTGTCGGGTTCCGAGCCCTCTTTGCAGATGGCTGAAGCCATGGGACCCTGTCGCCTCTGGGACCTTCGTGAGAGCTAATAGCCTGAGGGACCTGTTCCAGTGCGTGGTCTCTAGACTCTCTGACCTCTTTGTAGCTCTCTCGCAGCCCCTTAGCTCTTTGCCCCTCCCTGACATTGGCCGGAGCTGGTGGCGCTGGGGACTGGACAGCGTGTGCTGGTGGGCAGGCGGTGGGGGAGGAGGAAGGCAGAGCCGGGGTGGCTGCTAGGTCTGTCCAAATCAGTCGTCCACGGAGCGCTGATGACGCTCCTCCCCTGGGGGACAACGGTGACTTAGCCTGGTGTTACCCCCAGAGGTGTCAGTCTGGTAGGGGAGACACCTTCCCCTCCAAACATACCGGTGAGTAAATCGTAAGGTGGACGGGACAGGGAGAGTCATCCTTATGGCTCCAGCCTTGGAAATGGAATGATAACCAAGTCAAGAAGACTGCAGCGGTTTGACCTTGGGGTCACCTGGTCAGTCCAGGCAGGACCCAGCAGGGTGGGGCAAATGTACTCACGCTCCAATCAAGCAGCGGGCTCCAGAAGGCCTGGGGACCGGTGAGGAGCCTTGTCTGACCCTGTTTGGTCCAGGCATCTAGAAGCTTTTTCTGAGTGTCTGCTGCACATGGTGTGGGGCACCTGGCACACAGGTGCAGGCCACTTCCTGCTGCTGTGACCACCTGCATCTAGGTGGGTTTCCCGGAGGACTGGCCTGGGAGTGAGCCACATGCCTGCTTGGCCTCCCGTGGGTGTGGATCTGCCTGGACCCTCGTCGGCCGAATCGGCATCAGTATGAGAGTTTCTAGTCACCCCTGTGTGGTCCTGGCAGCTGGTCTCCTACGGAAAGTGCTTGCAGTTGTCAAGGTTTTCACTTTTCTGGAAATTTCTTTTTCTTTCCTTTTTAAAACTAGGCTCCACACCCAGTGTGGGGCTTGAACTCACAACCCTGAGACCAAGAGTCACATGCTCTACCAACTGAGCCAGCCAGGCGCCCTTCTGGAAATTTCTGGACCAAAGAAAAACAAAACCCTATCAAGCTGACACCTTGTTTCTTTAAGAGTATTGTTTTACTCCTTTTCTTTTTTTTTTTTTTTTTTTTCTTTATCAAATCTGATCGAAAACTCTTTTGTAAATGTTCTCCTGTTGGGGAGTTAAAGGCTGGAAGCCGGGGTTCAAGTCCTGCCACGGCTGGGCCAATCCCTTCCCCTCTCTGCCTCCCCACTTGTAAGTTGCAGGGACCAGGGCAGGGGTGCCCCGACATCGCCAGCTCTGATGTAGAATGCCAGGGGCTTGGGCAACCGGCCTCTTCCCTCTTAATGCCGTCTTTTTCTCTCTCTCCCCTCACAGCCACGTACAAGCCAGAATTGCCTGGAAAACAGTCCTTTCTCTACAACGAGGACAACAAATGGATCCCAGTGTTGTAGGGACCCCACGCAAGCTCGGGAAGAACCCTGGCCACCAGCTGCCTCACCCAGGCCCCCCAGGACGTTCATTCAGAGAATGCCCATCTCGTGTGTGACAGACGACGACTTGGAGGGCAGATCTGCCCCTGCCCCCCCACCCCCCCGTCCCCCGTGGCTGGCGTGGAGCTGGGAGGCTGCGTTTGTCCTTGTCTTGAACTGCCTCCTGGAGATTGGACACCCGCCTCCACTGACTCCAGTGGTTCCCTGAGCAGAAATGAGGGGTGGACAGAGCCCTCCTTGGTTACCTGCCATGCACCTGCCCGTGCTGGGATGTGCAGTCCTCTCCGCAGATGTAAGAGGTTCCTGAAGCTCAGGCTCGAGGGAGAAGGGCTGCCATTGACAGGTTCCCCATCTAGAAGCCTGACGCTGGGCCAGGGCTCGAGGTCCAGACTGTACCTGCTGGGTGGACCGCACAGGACTGCGGCCCGGGCACAACTCCCATCCTTCACCCTTGACTTCCGGGAGCCGGAAAGGCCCAGAGGTGCTTGTGACAGACTCAAGGGGGTTGCCTGGGCCCGGGCCCCCAGCTAAGCCTACGCACCTCACCTTCAGGAAGAGCATGGCCCCAGTCACCGTGGTCACTTGTGCTCGGTACCCACCTTCAGGAGAAGGCCACCACATCCGTGGAGTGGCCCGGCATTCAACAGCACACGTGGGCAGGTCGCTGCTGGAGCCAGAGCCCTGGAAACAGCATTCTGAGGGGGCAAGGGGGCAGGGAGGCACCGCTTGGTGCCTGCGGGTTCTTTTACCGGGACTTTCCTATCCCCAGGCCTGGCCTCCGTCTCCTCCCAGGCCTCCTGCTCAAGTTTGACACAGCCTTTGATGAATCTTTTCTGGCCTGCCACGTCCGTTTCCCCCGGCAAGAGGGAGAGATTCCCAAAGAACCAAGGGGGAATAGAAGAAACCACACGTCCCCTCCCTTCCCAAATATTGATGTTGTCGTTCACTTCTGCAAGCGGAAGGCACTTATGCAGCCCCCTCCCCGCTCCCCACGGAGTCCAGGCCCCTCGCTCCCGGGGCCCCTCCCCTGACTTTGCTCTGTGACCAGAGGGTGAGTGGCCTTCCCGTCAGAATGGCCGCTGACTGGCCCCCCCTGTGGGGAGGGGTGGGTGAGGAAGAGGGAGGGAGAAGGATGGAATACCATATCCAATTAAACCGACTTCTTGCGTCTCGCCAAAGCTGGCCTTTTTGTGAGCCTCAGATTCCCTCAAGTGCCCGCTGCGTTGGGACGGGCGGGAGGTGGCCTGGGGCACCTCTTTAAGAGCGATGCCACCTGGACCTCGAGGCGGGACGCCCCGTGCTCCCATCCTGTCAGGTCCGGAGCTCCTTCTCGAAGGTTAAGAGTCAGGTTCGAATTCCGGGGCTCAAGGTCGACACTCGCGGGGGCCGGGCAGGCGGCACATGGGGCAAAACAGTGAGGGGCAGGGATGGGGTGTGGGAGCCGAGGCTGCTGGGCTGAAGGGGCATCCGACACGGCTCCAGATCACTGGTGCCAGATCAGCCCACTTTCCACACAGTCTGGGGAATATTTAAAATGTCAGATCTCCTGATTTGAGACGCGGACAACCACACTGCAACTTCGAATTGCTTGCTGGGGCTAAAGAAGACTTCTGCAGGCCGTCAGTTGTCCACTTGGGTGCTAGAAGTTCTGGAAGACCCTTTCAAAGTTGTACCTTTCTTTGACCCCAGACTCTTGACAACGGGGCCAGATCCCCGCGCCATGGTTTTTAGCAGACCGTTGGGCTAGAAGCAGCCGGCCTTGGGGTCTGGTCTCTGTGGGCCCGGGGGTCTCCGTGGGGACATGTATGGGAAAACGAGACAGGCCTCTCCTCCCTCTCGGCAGGTGGGCCGAGCACCGGCAGGTGAATACTGTCTCTCCAGAGGAGACCCCTCCAAGTGGGGTCAGGAAAGAGGGGACTCTGGGAAAAAGAGTGGCAGGGCTGCTCGTAGCCAGTCTGAATCTGTGTTCTGTCAAAGACACGATTGGGGGTGAGGCCCTGAGCTCAGAGGGTCTGTCCTGACCATGTCTAGTCTCTCTAAAGATGTCGTTTGCGGCTCACAGCTCCATCCAGCCCAGGGATTCTCAAACCCTGGCTGTTATGATCACTTGGGAGCTGTTACAGAGATAGCCTTGCCCAGGCCCCAATCCTCAGAGCTCTGATTTAACTGATCTGAGGTAGGGTCTGGGCCTGGGCATTGGTATCTTTTTTTTCTTTTTTAATGTTTATGTATACTTTTTGAGAGAGAGTGAGAGAGAGAGTGTGTGCGAACAAGCAGGGGAGGGGCAGAGAGAGAGGGAGACACAGAATCTGAAGCAGGCTTCAGGCTCTAGGCACAGAGCCCGACGCGGGGCTCGAATTCATCGACTGCAAGATCGTGACCTGAGCCGAAGTCAGAGGCTCAACCGACTGAGCCACCCAGGCGCCCCCTGAGCATTGGTATCTTTATTCAAGTTCTTAGTAAGGGCACCTGGCCGGCTCAGTCGGTAGAGCTCTTGATCTCAGGGTTGCATGTTCGAGCCCCACATTGTGCGTAGGGATTACTGAAAATCTTAAAAAAAAAGTTCTCAGCGTGATTATGATGTGTGTAGTTCAGGCTAGGATACACTGAGAGCTGAAGAAAGTATTTTCCAAATTTTAGTGGGCACGCGTATCATTTGGATATCTCGTTAAAGGGCAGATTCTGTCTGGGGTGGGGCCTGAGAGCCTGCATTTCATTTTCTTTTTTTTTTAATTGAGATATAATTGACCTTATCACACTGTATTCGTTTTAGGTGTAAACATTTCTTTTTTTTTTTTTTTAACGTTTATTTATTTTTGAGACAGAGAGAGAGACAGAGCATGAATGGAGGACGGGCAGAGAGAGAGGGAGACACAGAATCGGAAACAGGCTCCAGGCTCCGAGCCATCAGCCCAGAGCCCGACGCGGGGCTCGAACTCACGGACCGCGAGATCGTGACCTGGCTGAAGTCGGACGCTTAACCGACTGCGCCACCCAGGCGCCCCTGGTGTAAACATTTCTAACAAGCTGTCGGGCAATGCCGATGTTGCTGGCCCGTGGACCCCACTTAGGGTAGCGAGGGTCTCGTAAATACACTTAATTGCTTAACTCTGGCCATTTGTTGGCCCGTCCGCTGTTTGCCTATTTCCCCTCCTCCCTCCCTGCGCCCTCCCTCCCTCCTTTCTTCTCATTCCGTCACTTATTCATTCATCCCCTTTCCCCCCATCACTGGCAACTTGCCATCTAGGGGAGAGCTACCAGGCAGGGGATGCCCTCCCTACCGGCTGACAGCCACCTTTCCAAAGTGACTCCTGCTTGCAAAGGACTTTCCTTCACTCCTTTTCCCCCTTTTACTCTTTGGAGCAAGAGACAGTCCTAGAATGGCAGCTGTCAGGCTCAGGGGCTGCCCTTGCCCCCTGACTTCTCTGAGGGCAGGGCTGAATTTCCTCAAGCCCTGCAGGGCTCTCTTTGAGGTCCCCACGGCCTTTCTAGGCACCAACGGCCCTGGTCTCATCGCGTGGTGGCTTTGCTGAGGAGAACTGAGCCCTGGTGGCTGCTGGCCAACGTGTGGGTATGGAGCTGCCCGGCTCCCTTCCCGAACGTTGCAGCAAGCTATGCACGGGTACTGATTCCTTGTGGGTGCTAATTCGGCCAGACACTGCAGGATGACAAAGGCTTCAAGTTCAAGGCCTGTATAATTATGGCCTCTCTAGAGCAGTGCTTCTGGACCTTGACTGCACATTGTAATCACGGGGGTGGGTGGAGTGGTGCTTTAACGAGTTCTGAGGTCTGGGCCCACCCCCAGAAATTCTGATTTAAGTGCTCCAGGGTGGGGTCTGGCCGGTGGGGAGAGGGATAAAAGCTGCCCAGGTGATTCCAGGGTGCAAACCAAGGTCGAGAAGCACCACCTGCCTGCTTCCCAGCCTGCTTCTGGGAGGGGGGCGGGGAGCCGGCAGGAAGCTCTGAAGGAAGGACACAAACAGATGCTGAGCACCTCTGGCACGCGTGGATGTGCCGGCACTCTGCACACACTCTGTCCTTCCATCCTCACACGTCATCCTGCTCTCACTTCTCGGGAGGTGTCAGAGCAGCGGCGAGGCTGGGAGTGGACACGGCATCTCCGGATGCCCACAGGGTCCCCTGAGCAGTGCCGTGCAGGCCATATTGGTGGCTGAGGCCAAAGGAAACATCAGTGATGCTGATCCTGGCTTCAAAATTTTGATATCTTGTTCATCACGGATTTTTTTTTTTTTTTTGCCTTTATTTAAAAAAAAAAAAAAAAGCAACACATTGTGTTGATTTCTCTTGATTACTGAGCTCTTTGGCTCACTGGCGGGACCCTAGTCCTGGTGCGGACTCCAGGCAGGGCGGTGGGAATTAGGACCACAGGCTCTGGCTGTCAGAGCTGAGCGTTGGAGGCATCTGCGGTTTACAAACCTTTTAAAAAGTTTTGTTCAGACAGAAGTTTATGGGAAACCCTTACGTGTAAAAGGGGAAAAGCGGGTCTGAAGTCTGGAGGGTCCTCAGAAGCTGCCGCTCTCCCCTCCCCCACCTCGAGGTGGCCTCTGAGACCCAGCGGTGAGCTCTGGGGCTCTAAAGATGATAGTTACAGATGACCGGCGGCGTAGACCCCCTACGCCCCTCATTTCAGAGCCAAAGAAACTGAGGCCCAGAGGTGGTCGTGCGCTAGGAAGCGGGCGAAGGAGGAAGGAAGGGCAGGTTTGTCGTCTGTTCCCTAGAGGGAATAAAGGCCTTGATTTGTAGCCGTTGTCAATGTCTGTGGTGTAAATGCTCCCCGGGCAACGTCCCAGCATGATGTCACTGACCACGAAGCTGGGAAGAGACGGGAGCACCAGCTTTTGTGAGCTGCTGAGTCAGCTGCGGGGAGAATGGTGAGGCCCAGAGCGTGGGGGCGGAGCTGACAGAGAACTCCGGTCAAGGTCACGTGGCTCCCAGCCTGGGGCTCCGCGCGGGGTGAGGTCCTTCCCGGGACTTCTTCATCTCCAGTCAGTGGTCCTACGGTCTTGACCTTCAACCTGTGGGGCGGCGTGAGACACAGATCTCGACATCAGGATCCCACTCCCTTCCCGGGGGCACCTCTGCTTCGCCCGTGCCCAGCCCTCGCCACCAGCCTTGGAGCCCAGGTAAAGCACCCTCAGGACAGAGGAGGAGGCCGGCCCAATATGCTTTCGCCCTCTCTTCCGGGAAGACTGCCACAGAAGGAACAAGTGTAGCGTTTGAAGTAATACATAGGTAGAATTTTATTACTAAATACCACGTGAGTATACAAAATGCATAATTGAATAACAGCTAAAAAAAAATAGTCCAAGAATGTGAAATACACATTTTTTGAAATGATAAAAATGCATCCATGAAAAATATAAAATGTTGCATATATATACAATATATACTTATATATATATATATAACATAAATGAAAATTGTAAATAAGAAATGTGTACATCAGTGAACAGGCATGGAAGTTATTTTATACAGCAGCCACTCCAATGAATCAGCTCTATTATTTACAACTTGTATCAAGGAAATCCGGGAGAAAGAGAGTGTTTCCACCATGGTAACATTTAAAAGTTGTTTGCATTGAAAATCAAAAGAGTTTTCAAGTTAATTGACCAAAGGGTAAGGGATCCTCAGTCTGAAGTTGATGGAAGAACCAAGAACGCAGGCCGGACAGGAGTCGAGTCAGCTTTGGGAAAGAGGGTCCACTGGCACCATCTGAACGGCCAACCAGGAGATGGACTGAAAGCAGGGTCTTCCGAGAAGGAGACAGGCTATGGGAACGTTAAGCAGGACGACACTCTTTCTGGCTGGGCGGGGGCTGGCAGGAAGTCCAGGGTAGATTCAAGCATGAGATGGGCTTCAGGTCAGGATACCTCCTGGGTCCCTTCCTGACCTTGACATCTGTGGGTCTGTGATGTGTTTTTCTCAGGGAGGGCATTCAAGTAACAGCACTGGGGCATGAGGAGAGGTTGTGTGCGGCATGGGCCACTCCCCAGGGGCCTCCTTGCCTGGAGCCACCCCACGGGGCCTGAGGGTGTGGATGCCTGGGCCTCACAGCTCCTTCAGGATGATCTGAATCTTGCCATCGAGCTCCCCCATGTCCAGCAGGAAGGCGACGTGGTTGCTGTAGTGCTGGATGATGTTGTTGTCCATGTTGACCAAGATTCTGGAAGAGAAGAGGAGATGTGTCTGGAATGTGGCAGGCCCCTTGTTTCAGGGCTGCTGGGTGACAAGGATGACAGTAACGGTTACCACCTCTTGGGTGCCAACATTTCGGGCACCTCCTGGACTTTCCCCCTGACCGTCAGAACAACAGAGACGGGTATTCACTGTCCCCCGTTACGGCAGAGGCCACGATCCCCAAGTGGCCGAGCCACACCTCCAACCACGGCCACCGCTGCGCCAGACCACCTCTCCTAATACACACGAGTGTGGACACTTTGAGTGGCTGACGTGAGATGTGTGGAAGATGCGGTGTTCCTTGGTCACCAGGCCGGACCAAGGACTCGGGCACAAAGCGAGAGTTCAAGCACAAGAGGTGTGGTGGGTGGACCAGTGTGGTTTGGGTTCAACGGGAGGCTGCATTGTGTCACTCAGATGTGCCCGCCTGAGCCAGAGGCAGGTGCCACACGAGTGCCCTCTCAGTTCCACCCCCACGAAGCTGCAATCTCACAGATGGTACAAGAGACTTGAGGGGCTCCGTCCTCTCTCCCCACACCCTCCAGGCAGGGACCTGGCCCAACCTGAGAGGGACCAAGCCTCCACGCCGTGGGCCTCCGCAGAGGGTCAAGGCCACGGTGTTAACCAGAGGACACCCCTCTGGCTGCTGCCTCCCTGATGAAGAGCCCAGTAAGATGTGACCTGACCTGACCACACCAGCTTCCCTTTGTAATGGAGTTGAGTGTCTGCAGCCACTCATCCATCCACCCCACTAGCATTTGCCAAGGCCGTTCCATGTGCAGGGCCCTGCGCCCAGGAAGAACAAGGGCCACACAGAGATCCTAGAGCCTGCCCTCCAGGAATTCAGAATCTAGTAGGGCCCGAGAAAATGACTCTTTGTAACCCTATTACTCCAGTGGGTAGATGGGGAAGCTGAGGCTCAAAGAAGCACAGGGGTCACACAGTTAATAGATGGCAGAACTGGACTTGAATCCAGATTTTGGTTTCTTTCTGCTGTACCAGTTTTTTAGAAAGAAAAACAAAAACCCTATGAATGTAAGTTAGGAAGTGGCACATGTAAGGAAGGCAAGATCCAGGGCTGGGAAAGAGTTTAGATGGCCGCAAGTTATTTCAAGTGGGGCGGGAGTCGGGGGGCTGAGGATCTCACGTTACTGCTCCCTGCTTCCGGCAAGTAGCTGTTGGCTTTCCAGGGGAAGCTCCGGGGAGGCGGTAGCCTTGTCCCCATCGTCCCCGGGTCTGGAGGATGGAGACCTTACAGAAGCAGCGAGCCTAAGCCTATGGCCTGTGTCGGGCCGTCTCTGCAGACGCTGCTGCTTCCAGCAAGGAGGTCTGGGCGCAGGCTGCCCAGGGCGGGGTGCTGACTGTCAGTGTCTCATTACGGCGCCCCACTTCCTTAGGTCCTGTCAGCCGTTCCTTCCTTTCACAGAGGGATCCTCGTCCAGGGGCTGCAGGCTGGGAACAGACCGGAGGAGGCCGGGCCTGGGCCAGAGGGGTGAGCGCTTTGCTGGCAGCCGGGTGTGTGATTCGGATAGTGGTATTTACTGGGGGCTTCTAGATGCCAGGCCCTGTGTGCCTTACGTGCATGAACTTGAAGGCTGCCTCCCTCCCACTCCCCTGCCGGGCTCCCCGCAGGCCCCGAGTGCACACCTACACACAAGGGATCCCAGACAAGCCCTCAGACCCCTTCCCTTCAGAGGTCAGTGACAACCGGGCCCTAGAGGCAGGGCTTGTTGGGAACCACTGTCCCAGAATGTGGGCCTCTTGTCACTTGCCAGCTACTAGCTGTCTTCTGTCCTGGTTCCCCTGAAACCCTTGGCCAGCTGCCGGGAAAACAATGTATTTGTTAATCTTTCAATCACTCAGTGGTGCTTGTAAAGCTGATTGTATCTACCTTTGTCCAGGGGACTCTCAGGAGGGTTCTGTGCAAATAAACTAGGCCATCGATTAGAATTTTCTCTCCTCCTCAGAGGAGGGGAGTCTGACGCTGAGGGCGGTGGAAAATGGGCCCGGCATCTCCTCTCCCCAAAGCGTTTTTGTGGACTCTTCTCATTTAAGCATCTCAGAAGATGCTAGATCTGAAGTTTTCATGATTGCGAGTGTGGGGGGTGTAGGGTGCTTCTGAAGGGCCGCTGAGTGATGCCCTGGGCTACGGGGTTAGGCAAATACAAGACCTGGCCACGGTCTTTGTTTGCACATCACTTAGCAGTTAGAGGAACAAGCAGGAGGCGAGGTAAAAAATGGGTGCATGCGGGGCGCCTGGGTGGCGCAGTCGGTTAAGCGTCCGACTTCAGCCAGGTCATGATCTCGCGGTCCGTGAGTTCGAGCCCCGCGTCGGGCTCTGGGCTGATGGCTCAGAGCCTGGAGCCTGTTTCCGATTCTGTGTCTCCCTCTCTCTCTGCCCCTCCCCCCGTTCATGCTCTGTCTCTCTCTGTCCCAAAAATAAATAAACGTTGAAAAAAAAAAAAAATGGGTGCATGCAGAGGCTGGAGACAGGCCCGATTCCTTCTGCTGGTTACTAACTACTCTGAACCTCAGTTTCCTCATCTGTAGAATTACAGATAATCATACCGAACTATGCCTGGGACTCATTTAGCCCAGCACCTGGCACATAAGACGTGCTCCACACGTGGACGCTATCATCTACCCCGGGGGCTGGGGCATCCTTGCGTGTGTACCCCCACCCCCAAATCACACTGACACGTTTCCTAGCCCCTCAGCGCAGCCTGCAGTGGCATCCGTCAGGGAGGCTGGTGGCCCAGGTGCCGCTGCAGCTGGGGGGGCGTGGGCACTGGCACCAAGGGGAAGTAGGGCTGGGCTTGTCTGGGCAAAGCAGGGCCTGCCCTCTGCTATGAGGTGGATTCCGTCCCAGAGAACATGTGAGCCCCAATCTGAAACCGAAACTTGGAAGAAAAAAGCCCACAAAAAACCCTAGGCGCTCATACAACCAAAACCCAACGGATCCTTCTCCAGGGGCTGCAGGACCGCACACCCCCCCCCCCTTGCCCTTCTGGGGGAGGCTGCTGGGAACCAAAGAGGAGGGAGGGCTAGAGGCCAACCCCCGGGCCTGACTGGACGGGGCCTCAGCCTGGGAACAAAACCTGCCTGGCTTTGCAAAGCCTTCTAAAAAGGAAAGCCCGTAGTCAGCCACGGGGCGATGCCCAAGCACCTTCCGGGGGCCGCTAGTAAGTGCAGCTGGAGCTACACCATCTAGAGCAAGAGGATGGGGTCTGCGCTGTGGGCAGAGGGCTGGGAGTGGGTCCTCTGGGCAGGGAATGGCGCTGACAATTCCTCGCCAACCCGAGGCCCCCGCTGGGCAGGTGCAGGGACTCAGTTCACAAGGGCTGTGAAGGTCCAGCTCACTGGCTCTGACCACAGGACCCAAACCTGGGAAGGCAGTCACCACATGGCCCTCCGTCTCCCTTTGCCAAGGGATCTCCCGGGCAGATAGCAAAGGGTGCTGTGGTGTTTAGCACTAATCCCCAGGAACATATGGAAGGTCCCGCACCGCTGGACCCTCTGCAAGGTAAAGCTTTATTCTCTGCTGCCTCATCCAGACCTGAGCGGGAGGCCTGGGGAGCATCCCCGGGGGGCTCCCTCAAAACCACATCAATCACTACCCCCTTTCCGGACTCATCAGCAGCTTTGCCCTTCTGGGGCCCCCTGACTCGGCCTGTGGCCACATTGCTGGGCCCTTCTGCCTCCACGCCGTTACTCTGCTACTCCTGCTCCTGGATATTCCTTATCACCTCCAAGCCTCAATTTCCCCATCTGTGAAGCATGGGTAATGGGTGTCTACGTCATAGTGTGGCTGTGAGAGTTAAGTGAGCTACTCGTAGCCCAGTATCTGGCACATAGTCAAGTGAATGGTGGGCACTATCATCATCGTTATAATCAAATGACTTGGCTATCCAGCGGCCTCGGAACTTGGACCTGGGTCTTCTGATCTTTGAACCTGCGCTGCCCCTCCACCTGTGGTCTCTACAAAGACCCTTCCATCAGTCTGCCACTCCTTTCCTTCCTGGTGGTGTTCAATGTCCGATCTCTGCAGGTGGCCTTGCCTGACTGGGGGCTTTCCACCCAACCCCACACCCCTCATCCTTTCCACGAAGCCAAGTACAAATGCTGCTTGGCATGGGCCGGGCAGAGCACACCTGCTGGGAGCTCCCAGAGCCAACACTTTTAGAGGGAAAGGGGAAGAGGCGCCTGGGTGGCTCAGTCGGTTGAGCATCTGACTCTTGGTTTCGGCTCAGGTCATGATTTCACAGTTCGTGGGTTTGAGCCTTGAGTCAGGGTCTGCGCTCATAGTGCAGAGCCTGCTTGGGATTCTCTCCCCACTTTCTGTCTGCCCCTCCCCTGCTCATGTGAATTCTCTCTCTCAAAAATAATATTAAAAATTAGAATAAAAAAGTAAAATAGAGGGAAAGGGGCAGCACAGGGGGAAGGGGGAGGGAGAGCTGTTATGAGCACTTACCCCCGCTTACATTTCTTGTAGACTTTGTAAATGTTCTCTTCAGGGAACCCATACTTCTCAGAGATCTGGAAGAAAACAGTAGGGGATGTGTTGTCTGCTGCCCAGACTGGATCCATTCCAGCCTTTTATACTAGGACTTTTTATTTCCTGATTATGAATGTAACATACATCCATACTGTGGAAAAATCCAGAGAGGACAATTTCAATAGTCCCTAATCCTGTTTCTCAGAGATAAACGCTACTGACATCTGGCTGTGCCCTTTCCCATCTTTTGGCCATGTGTACAGATCTTTTATGTTCCACACAGACAGCTTTATAGAACTGTTTTTAGTTAACACTGTATGTTATAAGCCTTCCCGCATCACAACAAGCTCCTGAAAAACTGCATGTTTAGTGGCTGTAAAATACCCCAAAGAGCAGCCACCAGGTCCCCAACCTTCGCCTGTAGTCAGAACCACACCGTTCCAGCGGGTTCCCCTCACCAGCTGCCGACTTTGGGCAAACTAGCTGGGGAAGCCGGTCGAAGCGCCTACCTCCCAGGGGTGCTCACGTGACCAATCTGGCCCGTGTAAAACACCTGGGTCGGTTCCTGGCGGTGGAAGGCCTCCATAAGTGCTCACTGTTGTCCTTTTAGAAGGGGAGTGGTGGGGACGCTCCCACCCTGTCGCGAGGGGGATTATCGAAATATTGCCCCCTTCTAGGCAGGAATTACTAACCCCATTGGATGGGGGAGGATGCTGGGCTCAACCAAGGCCCAGCCGGATCCCTGGTCCTCCTGCCCCATCCCAACCGTCACGACCCAAATCACGGGTGCTCCTTCTGCACACGAAGAACCTGCAGCTCCGAGGCCCGTGAGTGTGGCCGTGAGAGCCAGCCCGCTTCTCCCAGACCACCGGAAGTTTCCTCCGGGCCAGATGGGTCTGGTCTGGTCCCAGCTCCACCACCCGGAGGGCAGACTCTGAGCCGGTCACCAGCCTCGGCTTCCTCGTTTGCAAAACGGGCACAATAACGGGGTAAACGCACAGCGGGGTCCTGCGCAGGGACCGAGAAGATTACACGAAGGGCCCAGCGCGGGGCCTGTGCCCTGGTGAGAGGCTCGGGCAGAGGTTACTCTGCAGTCTGGCGTTACTGGCTGCGGCGAGCCTCAGCCCAAGGGCTTCAGACTGACGTTCTCTCTGGGCCTTTTAGGAAGAGGGTCAGGTTTGGCTCCTCAGTTATTCTCCGCCCTGCCGGAGATCCCTCCAGTCCAGAAAAGTTCTTAGGCTATTTGTTTTAATGGCTATATGGCTAGAAGCTTCCAGGAGGAAGGTCTCCATTCACTCGAACGGACTCAGGTATTTTCTAACCATAAATTGTACAAAGACGGCGTAGGCTGCCCCGTGTGGCGGTGAGCTCCCCATTCCTGGAAGGACACGAGTCAAGAGCGGGTACCCGCCTGGGGAGAGAGCTCAAATACCAGATGGGGACCCTTTTAGGTACTGTCCGGCCCAAAGATTCTGAGTCAATATTCAAGTGACGTTAGTGGCCTTTTGTGAGCCCAACTTCTGGGGCTGGTGCCGACCAAGCAGGGTGGACGGTATGTGAAGTGACCAGGAGGGGATAGCCGAGTGGAGAGAGCTTGGGCTGGATGGTAGCTCTGTCACTTCGGCAAGTCGCGCGACCACTGGAAGGCCGTTTCCTCGTGGGAAAGGAAGGGATAATGACAGTGCCCACTTTTCAGGGTTAAGAGAATATGGTGAGCTGGCAAACGCAGCTTGCTTGACACGATGCCTGGCACATAGTGGGTCTTCAGTAAAAGGAAGCTGGTGCTATTATTAGATTCGTTCCCCCACCCCCACCGCCCTCCCGCCTGGCATCTTGGACCTGTCTGGCTTTGCTCTGTGGTTGGACCTTTAAGCACAGCCGGCCCTGGTGGAGGCTTGTGTTTGCTCGGTTTTAAGCTGAGGCACAAAGCTGCTGTGGGTTTTGTTCAAGGCTCTTTTGCCGGCTCTGGCAATCTGGGGGGTTGGGGAAGGTCTCCTTGCCCAGACACCACCTTTGGCTGCCCCCGCCAGTGCCCCCCAGCCAACCACAGGCGAGAGGAATGAGGCCCCCTGGAAAAGAAAAAAGAGAGTCTCTGGGGCCTGGCCTTTTTGGGTTTCATTCCCATTAAAACAGAAACAGGTTTGCAAAGCCAACAAAAAGCTCTGGCCTGTCAGACAGCAGCCATCAGATTAGGGAGGATTTATGGTGTGTGTGCCTCCCAGGGTGGGGCCAGGGTTCTGGCTTCGAGATAACATCACAGAGGCACGCCCCCACCAGCCAGGCCCGCAGGCCCCCCTGAAATGGGGTGGGACAGGTGGACCATCAGAAAGCCAGGGTTCCAGCATATTCCTTCTCAGAGGCTTCCTGTGGGAAATCAGAACTGTGTGGTGAAGAGTGGGGACAGGAACTCAGAGTGGGGTCCGGCCAGGGCTGGGCGGGGTCACAGGGCCTCTTACCGCATTCCTCAGCCCCTTCAGGTCTGGCGTCTTCAACATGAGGGCGTCAAACACCTCCTCGGTCTCCCTCCGCACATACAACAGAACTGAGAGGCAAAGGGGTGGCTTTAGTAGTGAGGGGAGGGTCAATGAGCCGGGGAATACCTCATGGGATGGGGGAATCTTCAAAAGTATCGTTTCGGGCGTTCGATTGAATTCTGCAGGAAAGGCAAATCCTCGCCGAGGGTCTGTACCCAGATGGGAAATCCCACGGGCTCTGCAGGCCCCCCTCAGACTGTGCTAATCTGGGCAGGTTGGAATCCCTGCTCTATCACCTGCCAGCCAGGTGACCTTGAAGAAGATATTGTTACATCACTGAGCCTCACTTTATCCAAATGGGAAATGGAGGTGGCCCCACCCCCTATTTCACAGGGGTGTTGGGGAATTAATTAATGACATGACATTTTAAACACCAAGTGCGGTACGAGGCTCCATGCAAGGTTGCCAGGAGCTTTTGATCTTGGCTGCTGGCTGGTTTCTTCCTGATGATCAGCTATAGCCCCCCCGAGGTTTGGGCACATCCCCCTCTCCCAGGAAGTTACAGATTTAGGCTGTCAGAGCCAGAAAGCCAGGTATGGAAACCCAATGCTGTTCCCACCCCCAGAAGAGAAGGGGCGGGGGGGGTTGCCCAACATAATGGACCTGTTGCCTCGGCCCAGCTGCTGTGGGATGCCCAACAAGGGACATGCCCACGAGGCCAGTGGAGGCAGAAGACCTCCGGCTCCACTGTCAACTCTCCAAGCACCCTGCGTGTCACCCTTATCCCCACTCCACCCTCAAGTCGTGGCCCAAATACAGCTCCAAAGAGCTCCTTGCGCCCTCTCTGCTGGGTGGGTGCCGCCCCGGCGGCCAGGCCAGGATTGGCGTTCGAGGCTTTGGGGAAGGCCCCGTGGGGGGCTGGGGGCCACACGGTGGGCTCAGAGAACAGATGGGCCGGGAGTGAGGGTACCTCTCTGAAGATCGTCTTCCTTGGCTTTTTTGGAGGGCAGAGACTCAAACTCCTCAGCGAAGGGTGAGCAGGAGCGCTTCAGAGGCAGCCTGGGGGGTGACAGGGAGGGGCTCGTGAGGAATCCGGGGGATCCCAGAGTTGGAAGGGGCCCCAGATGTGCAGAAAACCCCACGAGGGCAGGCACAGCACAGGAGGACGGCAGCAAAAGCAGCAGGTTCTGGAGGTGGGACTGCCTGGGTTCGAATCCCACTCACTAGCTGGGTGACTCGGGAGGAGTCTCTTAGTCCCTCAGTGTCCCCTTCTATCAAATGGGGTGACAATTAGGTAAGGACAAGAATACTTCATAAAGTTGCGAGGCTGAAGGACGTCACGCAAACTGCTTTCAGAACAGCGTGTGACACACAGTTGGGTCTCAGTAAATATGGACTCTTGTTTCATCATCAGCGTGGTGTTCTTTTTTGGGAGAATCCCCTCGGATGTGAGGCGGGGAGAGGGGGAAGCGTTGTGGGGTTTGGAGGAAGACAGGCTTAGGTTCCAGCCCACCTCTGCTGCTTAAGAGCTGTGTGAGCCTGGCCACGTCACTTCACTTCTCTGAGTCTCCATTTCCTCATCCATAAAGCCGGGCAATAACCCCTGCTCGCCTGGCTGGCTGGCACTGTGGTTCGGTGTGAAAGCACCAGAGGAAGAGTACCCCTTGTCTATGGGGGAAGAGACTGATATCGACACTAAGGTGCTTTCTTATGTGCGCTTTTCCTCTCACGTGGCCCCCCATCCCTGCCTCAAGCCCACGAGGCCATTTTCCATTTTCCCCCTCGGGCAGATCTCTACGCTGACACAGGGGGGATGGGGCCCTTCGGGGCGCCTCCCTCCCTCCTCGAGTCAGGGAGGGGGTGTGTGTGTGGACCCCTCAGTTGGTCCTCCAGCACTGTGGCCCCTCCTAACTCTCCAAATCTGTGCTACCATCTCAGAGGCCTTTTCTTTCCCTTTTTACAAGCAGGTGTCTCGCCAGAGATTCGCCAGCTTTTCACATAAAACAAACCCATAAAAACGCAGGCAGTTTCAGTGAGAGAGGAGCGTGAATGTAGCTTGGGGGTTGGGAGCAGAGTCCCATGGCTGCTTCCTCTGTGCCCAGGCCCTGGCTTGGGGGGGCAGCACAAGCAGCAGGGGGCCAGGCGGGGGGGGGGGGCGGGGGGGGGTGGTGAGGCCCTTACCTGTTGGAGCTGCTCTGACCTGCCGAGGGCACTGCCTGCAATGAACAGAGAAGACATTCTCCATCACATGCAGGCAGGAAGATGAGAGGGGCCTTCTGGGGGGAGGGGGCACAATCTTTGTGGGGGTGAGGTGGGGAATGCGGTTGTGATGGCTTTCCAGCCCATTCTGCTCAGATTTAGTCCTCCTAGGTGAGCTGAGATCTTGAGTGGAAAGGGAGCATCCAGCCCAAGTGGAAGGGTCGGGGACTGAGCCTGGAGGTGCTAAAGGAACGCGGCCAACTCCACGAGCCCCACCTGAGCCCCAGCTCGCCCAGAAGGGTCGGGACTGCACACCATCATGCAGGGCAGTGGAAGCTGAGGCACAGGGGAAAAGGGGGTGGGGGGAAGGGCACTCTCCGGAGGGTTCCAGAGACTGTCTGTGGCAGTCATCGCCGGTTCCGTGAGGTGAGGCACCGGGCCTGGTGAGTGCCTCCGGAAGGAACGCACCCAGCAGGAGGCAGAGTCGGGACTGAGCGGGCCCCCAGGCTCATAGGGGCGAGGGTGCCTCCCTCTTCCCCACAGAGCAGCCGTCAGCCTGGCCACAGGGCCTTCAATCCCGAGAGCGGTCATCTCCCAACTCGGGGCCTCTGGCTGGGGAGAGACACTAGGGTGACGTGGCCACCTGACTGTGGGGCCACAGAGCGCTTCCGGGGCGGGGCAGTGAAGGGAGGATGGTGGACGCAGGAGGCCTTTAAGTGTGGACCACGGGCCGATTCCGAACTAGCTGCTCTCGGGGCACCTGGGTGGCTTAGTCGGTTAAGCAGCTGGCTGTTGGTTTCGGCTCAGGTCACGATCTCACGGTTCGCGGCTTCGAGCCCCGTGTCGAGTTCCATGTGGGGAATTCTCTCTCTCTCCCTCTCTCTGACCCCTGCTTCTATTCTCTCTCTCTCTCTCTCTCTCTCTCTCAGAATAAGTAAATCAACTTAAAAAAGAAAAAAAGAACTGCCTGCTCTTTCAGTTCCAGAATCTCTTATTGTTCGAGGTCAAGGCACTGAACGCATCTTGGAGGGCAAGGGCTGTTTCTGCAAACAGTCCCACCTACACGGAGGGACCTCAATGGCAGGAAATAGTCAGACTGTTTAATATGGAAGCAAACTACTAGATAGGCTCTGGAGTCTCGATTCTGCCACTGAGCTTTGGTGTGGCCTTATCTGGAAAGTGGAGAGGACAGCAGTGTCTCCCTCAAAGGATGGCTCCCTGGCCTGAGAAGGTGGTACAGCTAGAATTCCCGGGCGTGGCTTCTAAAGCCGAGGTGCCTGCGTCCACACTCTGGCTCTGCCATGTACCGTGTGGTTTTGGTCTCCGCCTCAACGTCCAGCCCACAAGTCCAGGGAGAGTCGTGGTATCAATCTCCCGGGGAGGTAGTGAAGGTTAACGCAGCCGGCGCGTGGACCGTGCTGACAGCGGCACCTGACGCACAGCGAGCGCTCGCGGGCATTGCCGCGACCATCGCGATCCACGCAGCTTTGAGTCAGCTGCAATCTAATTTGGGGCTCAGAAATTCGGACCCTCCGTGTGTGCCCCAGGTGTGAACGCTTTGGTGGTTATGAAATCCGTTTCTTCGTTAACCTTCTTCTCCCCAGTAGAAAAGTTTCACTGATGTTACATATGGACGTATGGCCATGTTTTTAATCCCCTGGGATTCAATACAAGTATTTGCATCTTGATGTTAAAAAAAAAAAAGTCGGGGGTGGGGGGGGAACACGCCTGGGTGCTTCAGTCGGTTAAGAGTCTGATTCTCGATCTCGGCTCAGGTCACGATCTCACGGTTCGAGAGTTCAAGCCCTGCATCCGCTTGGGACTCTGTCTCTTTCCCTCTCTGTCTGCCCCCCCCCCCACTTTCTCTCTCAAAATAAATTCATTAACTTAAAAATATATATACATTGGGGCCCATAAAGATCTCAATTGGTCTGTAGTGGCTGAGTGGTAGGTTTCTCCTCACTGGCCTGTGCTGATCAGACCCCACCCAGGGGCCGAGACCCTCTCTGGCCCAAGACCCTCACCCCTCCGGGACGCTGCAGGCTGGAGAAGTGCACATTAGGGATGAACAGCACCGGTGGGGTCTCCAGGTCAGCCTCAGGCCGCAAGTAGGTGGTCTCATTGCCCCTGAAGCCAGACAGCAGGCAGCCCTTCATACCTGCTGGGAAAAGGCAGGCACTGCGTCCCAGGCCCCTCTCTTCACGTCCCAAGCCTCTGCCCTCCAGTCTCCTTCTCCCCTTCACCCCAGGCCAGCCCAGCCCCTGACTCATCCCCACTGACCGCTGTTGCTGGAGTCGGGGCACTTGACCTTCCTCCGGAACTGCTTTCGTTCATCATCCCGCATCTTCCTTTCTGCTCCCTGCCGGGAAGAGGGCAAAGGGGGTCACCCAGGGCCTTGGGAGGGGCTGGCTGCTTTGCATCTTAAATCTGGACCGGCCATCCAGTGCTGCCTTCTTTCCAAAGTGAGACCAGGAGATGGGAAAGCACCAGCCCAGCCTTGTCTGAGGCCAGTACAGGCCACAGGAGAGAAACAGATGAGGAGAGAGAGGAACAGAGAGAGAAACAGAGGAGAGGGAAGTGGAGTCAGAGGGGGATGCGAAGAAGAAAGAGAAACATGAGAGAGACAGACACAGAAAGAGACATGGAGAGATGCTGAGGTCTAGAAAGAGATCTTCAGAAAGAGACAGAGATGAGAGACAGAAGCGCAGAGAGACCGGGAAAAATGCGCACAGGGGCCAAGGCAGACAGTGACGAGCACACAGAGGAGAGAGGTGTTTGGAGAGCAAGAAGCAGAGACGGACCGACACACCCGCGCGGCTGGGGAGGACTCGAGGGTGGGGGCTGGCCCTCCTCCCTGCCGGGGCCCAGCAGAGGGCCCGTCCACCCCAGCCACCTTGTCACAGAAGATCTTGATCTGGCAGACGGCGCGGTGCACCAGGCGCTCAGCGCCCGAGCCACAGTCGTAGGTGTCGATCTGCAGGTTCAGGGGGACGCCCTTCACCCCTTTCTGCGAGGAGAAGTCTGTGCTGAGGCAGTTGACACCGATGAACACCTGGGGACACACAGGGGAGCTGGATAAACAGCCTGCGCCGGCGGCCAGCCCTGCCGTCCCCAAGCCGCCCTGCATATCGAGCCCGGGAAACGGTGCCCCTGGAAGGCGCCTGTCACCACCTCTTTTACAGATGGACAGACTTGTGCCCAGGGCAGCGTGCCAGCTTTCCCCAGGGGACACAGGGGGTGCACGGAGCACCTAGTGGGCCTGGCACGCAGTGGCCTGTCATGGGGAGTGGGACGGCTGGGGTCTCAACCCAAAGCCTCCGCCCAACTCTGACGGCAGTCTGGGGTGAGTCTCAGCTGGGCACTCCCTGCCAAGCTCGCCTGACGACTGTCTGCCTGACCGACTCCTCCGTGGGGCGCCAGGGCCAGACCCCACTCCAGACTGGCCGCTGTTCTCTGGGACATTTCCCTCGGAAGTGGTCCTGACCTGCACAGGTAGGGGTGGGGTGCGGTGGGGCCAGGCCCCCGGGCGGGCGCATGCCTGACATACCTCCCCCTCAGCCAACTCAGCCCTAATGCAGCTCCCACCCAGCTCACACCTGAGAGAGACCCAAGCCTGGGGGCTTAAGAGGCTGTGAGAAAATCCCAACCGAAACCCTCCTCTCCCTTCCTACGAAACTCTTTCCCCGCCTCCCCGAACTGGAGGCCCCAGTCCCTCCTCTGGCCCCTGGCATCTGTTTGAATAATAATAATCCCTCACGTTTGTGCCTCCTTTTGTGTTTTCGGAGCCCCTTGAGCTCCGTTTCCTCCCGGCGGCCTGGACCCCTCCATGAGGCAAGCCGGGAGACAGGACCCAGCTCCCCCGCTTGTCTAGGCCAGAAATGTTTTTGCCAGGGCTGACTCAACCGTGGAATGATAGGGCAGGCCTGGCCCAAGGAGGCAAAGGGACCCAGTCCCTGAATGTCACCCAGTCCCTGAATGTCAGACTAGTGCCCTGTCCACGGTGCCGGCTCTCCAAACAGAAAACCAGGGCACAGAGAGGCCCGGAAGCACATGGAAAGTTGGCCTTAGGCACCAAATGGCTGGTATGAAAGAGTCGCCAGAGGCTCCATTTTCAGGCCTCTCCAGTGGGTCTGGCGCCGGGCCCATCTCTTAGACACGCATGATCCCATGGAATAAATCCCCACCCCGGCCCCAGGAGGTGGACTCCTTTCCCTCCTTACGGACACGGGAAGCCACGTAACAGATCTCAGCCTCATCTACCAGACTCCAAAGCATTTCTCTTGCCACACTGACGGCCTGCAAGTCAGGGAAGCTGGTGTCCTCGGTGGCTTGCCGTGTGACCTTGCACGAGGCTCAGTTCTCCCATCTGGTGAGTGGGTGGATGGGATTCGTAACGGCAGCCACCGCTTGGGTGTCAGACTGTGCTCTACTTCCACTAATCTCCCGTGATCCTCCCGTCAACCTCTCAGTGGGTGCTACAACTGCACCCCAGTTTGATGGCCGAGGCGCCGGTCTGAGGTCACGGAGCTGGAGGTAGGCCTAGCCCCACTGGCTTTAGAGCCAGTGCTGTGTGCCCTGCCTCCTCCATAGGCGCCCTCGTCAGAGCGGCTGCCACAATCCCACGTGCCCACCTGGGGACTTGTGAGTGACCAGCCCCATCACAGCCACACACTGACCTTGGCCTCCTCGTTGACATTCCACACGAAGGACAATGCATTATAGGCCACCTCCTCGATGTGCTGCACGGTGTTGAAGTTTTCTTTGCAGTCGGCTGAAACCACAGGAGACCGGGAGAGTCAGGAGGAAAGGGGTTTGGGGACGTGGTGGGGAGGTGTTTGTACTGTCTTCCCCAAGAACCATCCCTCAATTGGGGTGGGCGGGGGGGCAGGGGCAGGTGAGCAGGGGGAAGGAAGGACTGACTGCTGTGCCCTGAGTTGCAGATGCAAAAACTGAGGTCCAACCTGGGAAGCAGATCTGCCCACACCCCACAGAGAATCCCTAACTCTGCCAACTAGGTCAGGGCCCTCATGATTTTGGGGTGGGGGTTAGCGTTCTCACTGGGACTGTGATTGAGGAGATCTCCCAGATAAAATACTAGTAGTAGTGATGAGGGCAGGTATCGAACAAACGGTAGAACCACCACCCCGTTTATTGAACACGTCAATGTGGCGAGCCCTCTGTTAATCCTCACAATGATGCTATGTATACGCAGTTGACACACGCAAAAAATGAAGCTCGGAGAAGTCGGGTCACTTGACCAGGGTCACACAGCTAACAAAAAAAAAAAAAAAAAAAAAAAAAAAAAAGGCACAGCAAGAATGGAGCTCAGCTTTGGCCCCTGAACACAGGCTCCTACCCACTTGCTATGTAGCCTCTCAGTTAAGTCACAGAATCACCCCTATGTATATCATGTTCTCCGGTACACGTGCTCCCAGGCAGAAGAAACAGCACATAGGCAGGCAGGGCAGCTGGCCTTATTCCATTTGACTGCTAAAGAAACTGAGGCTCGGGGGGCGCCTGGGTGGCGCAGCCGGTTAAGCGTCCGACTTCAGCCAGGTCACGATCTCGCGGTCCGTGAGTTCGAGCCCCGCGTCGGGCTCTGGGCTGATGGCTCAGAGCCTGGAGCCTGTTTCCGATTCTGTGTCTCCCTCTCTCTCTGCCCCTCGCCCGTTCATGCTCTGTCTCTCTCTGTCCCAAAAATAAATAAACGTTGAAAAAAAAATTAAAAAAAAAAAAAAAAAAGAAACTGAGGCTCGGAAAGGGGACGTGACACAGGTCACACGGTCAGAAGAGTGTGGAGCCAGAACCTTGAGGCCCGAGGATGGGCTGTGCCTCCTACGTGTCCCATCCCAGGGCCTGCGGCAGGGATGAGGTGGCACCTCGTGCCCCTTCCCCGGGCCCCCTAGCTGCTGACAGAGCCGAGGTCCCAGCTCCCAGAGCAGAGCTCTCTCGCACCGCCCTTCAAACCTTCCCAGTCACCAACTGCCTGCTCTCTTGTCTTATGCATTTGTGTCTCAATTGGCTAAGCCCCCCGTGGGGACAAGCAGGCCAGGGGTCTATTTATCCAACACTGTTGGGGTCTCTAGGGCACTGTTTATCCCAAAGCAACACAGTAAAAGGCCACAGCCTGCAGCCAACAGATGCAAATCCCTGCAAACCCCATAGTTATGACCTGGAGACAGGGGCCAGGCAGGCGGCTGGGGTCAGAAGGAAGTCCTGCAGAGATCACAGAGGGCTGGGGAAAAGGGCACTTCAAGACCTGATTGGGGTGTGTGTGTGTGTGTGTGTGTGTGTGTGTGTGTGTGTGTGTGACAGAGAAATTGTGGGGGGGAGGGCAGAAGGGAGGGAGATGGAGAGAGGAGGCTTGAGTGGGCTCTCACCCACATCGATGACACGCTGCTTGGCAGTGGGTTGCCGGGAATGCCAGTGCTTCCAGAAGCGTAGCTGCTCCACCGGGACTTTCTCATTGTCAAAGACCACCATCACCACACTCTGCAGGCACACGCAGCCACAGTGACTCCCAGCCTCCTGGAGAGGCCCAGGCATCCCCTGACCCTTCCCAGAGCCTTGGTCCGGTACCCCTGCCCTTTTGCCTCAGTTTCCCCCACTCTATGGCAATGGACAGTTATCCTAGGGTCCTTGTCAGGCAGGGCTGGCCCAACCATCCTACCCCTTTCCCAAGCTGCTCCAGGGGCAACATACCTTGACTTTGTTGGAGGACAAGGCAAGGCCTTTGCTGCCTGCTGGGGTCCGCAGGGTGATGGGATAGAACTGGCCTTTGTTGAGGTAGGCCATAGGCGACTCCCCTGACTTGATGTGGATGGCTTTGGGGGAGCCCAGGGTGTACTCAAAGTCACTGCAGGGAAGAGAGGGTGAGGACAGTAAGGCTGAGCTCCCAGGCAGGAGTATCCCAGAGGGCAGTGGGGCAGGGAGCCTGAGGCTGTGCTATGGATTTGCTGTGTGACCTAGTAAATCACTCAACCTCCCTGGGCCTCAGTTTCCACACTTTTGGTTTCTTTCCTTCCTTTTTCCTCTTTCTTTCTTTTCTTTCTTTTCTTTTCTTTCTTTCTTCTTTCTTTCTTTCTTTTCTTCCTTTCTTTCTCCCTCTCTCTCTCCCTCCCTTTCTTCAAGATTTTTAAAATTATTTTTATTTTTAAGTAATCTCTACACCCAATATATGGCTCGAACTTACAACCCTGAGGTCAAGAGTTGCATGCTTTACGACAGCCAGGCGTCCCTGGAGTTTCTATTTAGTGGTTTCCTTGAGCCACAATCCTGTTGAATAACAAATAATGGAAACCAGAGAGACCCCTGAGGGGGGACAAAACCATAGGGGAGACTAAGGGCAACAGAATCTTAGTTTTTTTTGTTTTGTTTTTGTTTTTAATATTTATTTGAGAGAGAGAGAGAGAGAGAGAGAGAGAGAGAGAGAGAGCGCCCGTGCGTGCACAAGCAGGGGAAGGGCAGACAAGCGGGGGAAGGGCAGATGTGTGTGTGGGGGGGGTGGGGGACAGAGGATCCAAAGCAGGCTCTGTGCTAACGACAGAGAGCCGATGTGGGGCTTGAACCCACGAACCATGAGATCATGACCTGAGCCAAAGTCAGGCAGCCTGACCGAATGAGCCACCCAGGTGCCTCAGAACCTCAGTGTTTTAAACAGGGCTCTGAGCCCCTTGCCAGCCCAGGAAACAAATGGAGAAGTCAGTCTCTTTCCTTTCATGTGCCTTCACTCTCCTCTTCTCATTCATTGATGATGGCTACTCTGGGGACAGTATGAGGCTCTGTCTGTAGCCCCCGGCCTACTGCCCAAGTGGCCAAAGTTCCAGAGCAGCTGAGTTACCTCTTGGGGCTGGGATAGTCTTCTGGACACGGGGGTTCTGGGGACGTTTTCAGGATATCTGGGAAGAGCAGTGACTGCAGAGAAACACAATTCAGAGAGAATAAATGGCCACATTCAGGCTGCTGGGGCCTCATCCCGGGCCTGCTCCATACAGCTGTGCAGGTTGTTTAGTGCACAACTGGAACAACAGTACATGGCAAACCTGCCTCTGCTCTAGGACTTTTCACCCCATGGATTCCAAACCTCTGATCTCCTCACTGTCTTCTCCCCTTCTGCACATGCATGCACATATCCAGGGATGCTGTGAGGGGTGTGGGGGTGGGCCCTCACCTCCTGTGGGTCATCTTTGAAGGTGCTGTCAGGCTGCCAGCGCTGTGTGGGTGGCACCCCATGAATGCTCTCAAACAAGGAGTTGAGGGAGCTGTTATCATACACATCACTGGTGGGCAGCAGGTAGCTGTCCACAGAGCCAGCTTCCAGCTTGCCAGGGCCTGCGGGGAGGGGAGCCGCCTTGCCCGGAGTGGGCACGGCCCCCTCCAAGCTCATCAGGTTATTCTTCTTGAGCACATCTGGGTACTCTGGGGCTCCAGACACATTCTCGGTCAGGAATTTCATGAGATGTGTGGGACTTTCAAGGGGAGCGAGGTCCATCTCATAGTCCGTGCCATGGTAGTACCTGGGGAGAGAGGGGGATCCTTGGCCGGACTGGAGGGTGAGCACCGACCTTCTTTAACACAACGTCACGTCGGACCTTCCCGACACGCGTGACTCAGGGCACAGTACCAGGCCCGTTTGTCACAGGGATGAGCAGGGAGGAGGATGTTAAGAACGGAACAAAGTACCAGCTCAGGGCTGAAGGGAAAACATCTGCTTTATCTCTTACTGTCCTTGGTAATTTTAAAAACTGAAATTTTATTTATTTCTTATCCAGAGTCAAATGTCTCCACTTTAAAACACCTGTATTCAGTCATCAATACAGTGTGTGTGTGTAGGGGGTGGTGGCGTATATTTGTGAGTACAGTTAATATATGGTCAGAAAAAGGTCTAGAAGGATATACCCCAAACTGTTAGGGGGGGGGGAGGGGAGTTGGAATACAGGAAACTTTTACTTTCTACTTTATACATTTCTATAGAATTTGAATATTTTATAACAAACAGGTATTACTTTTGTAATCCGAAAAGCTAACAACATTAAAAGAAAAATTAGTTTTCAGAAAAGTCCCACACACTAAACCCTATTGTTTCGAGCATGGAGGGGCCCTGAGCCAGCTACATGAGTGGTAATGCCTGCCTTAGCAGTTTGGATTTTCTGGAAGGCAGACAGAAGCCCGGAAGTTTTCCCAGCAGAGGCCCTACGTGGGGCAGAGCAGTGGGGGAGGTGGTGGGAGAGGGGGGCTGGGGCAGAGTAGAGAAAGGGCAGGGTCCCTCTTAGTGCCCATCTAACCACGAGCATGGCCTGGGCTGCCTTCCACAGGGAGAGGAACATCAGTGCCCCAAGGCACTAATGCCAGGCAGAGGCCCAAGAGAGCCAGAGGAAAGAAGTACCTGAACCACCTCCCCCCCTCCCGCCCCAGGCCAGGTCTCCCTTCCCGGGAGGCTGCCGGGAGGAGGGGTTTGGAGCTAGGACAGAAAAGCTGCCTTCAGGGCTTTTCCTAGACGATGGCTTTGAAGTTTGTTTTCAGTAAGCTGTGTGTGTGTGTGTGTGTGTGTGTGTGTGTGTGTGTGTGTGTGTGTTCAAGCAGGGTCTCTATGACTTGGTGGGCCCTAGTCTCTTTTGCCTTCACAGGCTCCTTCTTCCATGAAAAATATTTTAAAATACCTTTTACAATTGCATTGGTATAAAAATAAATATAATCCAGGCTGGATTACAATCATTGTTTTCTTCTGATTTGACAATAAATTCTAACACTTTCATGGGCCCCTAAGAGTCCCATGGGTCCTAAGCCCTGAGCCCTCTGTGCCCAATGGATAAGCCCAGAGGTGGAGGTAAGGGTGAGGAAAGGGGCAGAGATGCTATTTGGGCGTGCCTCACCTCTTTCCTTGGTCATTCCGGCCCCCAGTGCTGGAGGACAGTATCCGCTTCTCCTTGGGGCCCTGAGAGGAGAGGAAAGAGAGATTTATACATTTATGTTAAGACCAACCCCCACCCCCCCACCAGCAGACTCGGCCAGACAGGGGAGCTCCCTTGGTCACTGGGAGAAAACCTGCCACCCAGTCCTTAGAGTTGGCAGGCCATCATTTAGTCTGAGCCCCCAGCTGGAGAAGTACCCCAAGATTAGCAGTTAGGCATCGTGGGATTTGGATTCAGGCAGATCCGGATTAAGTTCTAACTTGACCACTTAAAAGGCCTGTCTGACTCTAGATAAATGGCCACACCTTTCTGAGGCTGTTTCTTCGTATGGCGAGGGGCGGGTTATAATGCCCACTTCAAGGGTATCGCGGAGATTTATTAATAAAAATAATGCTTACTTTTACTTTTCATTTTTATTATTTTGTTAACGCTTACTTTTTAAAAAAGATCTGATTTATTCATTTCCTTATTCTTTATTTATAAATGTTCCTTTTTGAGAGAGAGCAAGTTGGGGAGGAGCAGAGAGAGAGAGAGGAGGAGGCAGAGAATCCCAAGCAGGCTCCACGCTGTCAGCGCAGAGCGCGACGTAGGATTCGAACTCACAAACTGTGAGATCATGACCTGAGCCGAAATCAAGAGTTAGACACTTAATTGACTGAGCCACCCAGGCGCCCCTTAAGACTTTACTTTTAAGTAATCTCTACACCCAACATGGGGCTCGAACTCACAACCCCAAGATCAAGAGGTACATGCTCTGATTGAGCCAGCAGGAGCCCTTTCATTGTGGTTTTTCAGTAGAGTGCTTCTTGTGCACAGGGCCCTGTATGAAGGGCCTTCTATGTGATCTCTAATTTAGTCCCTACAGCCACTCTGTGACAGCTACTAACGTTATCTCCATTACATGAATGAAGAAACTGAGGCCCAGAGAGGCTCTGTTGTCTTAGTGGTTAGGAGCATGGACTCTGGATCCAAATTTCTTGGATTCAATTCCTAGATAGGCCATACAGTGGCTGTGTGACCTTGGGCAAGTCTCTTAACCTCTCTGTACCTCCTCTGTAAGACAAGGATAATAATAGCAACATCAACCCCATGTATGTTTAGAACAGCACCTAGCATATGGAGGACACTATATAAATGTTATTTTAATGATTATAATTATAATATCATTGTATCTTAGAGCATCTAGGTCATTTCGACTTCTGGCTAATAAAGCCATAACCAGGGCTCCAACCCAGCCTAGTGACTCCAAAGCCTGGGCTCCAACTCACACCCCATGGGACAGGATGAAGGAAGGTACCTGGCATTCAGTAAGAAAGGATAAGCTGTCACCTTTAGAACTATATTGCCCAAAACCACATCGCCAGTCTGTGACCAGACCAGGTCTCAAATCCCAACTCAGTGCTCTCTTCACATCATCAGACCCTGTCCTCATTATCCACAGAGCTGTTCTGAACCCAGAGTGCCCTGAAATGGGGAGGAAGGGCAGGTGTGCCTCATCAGGACACAGTATTTCACTAAAACCACCATAGGGGTCACCTGCGACTCCCCACTGCTCTGGCCCTGGGGAACGGTCCTTTGCCTGGGGAGATGGTGCTGGATTTTACTTTATGGTCCAACCTCGAGCTGTAAATCCCAGGCTGGGTTTCAATCCAGGCCTAGGATTCTTAGCTCCCGCTGTGTCTCCAGTCGGCCTGTGCCAAATGCTATCAGGATGCTATTGGTCTGCTGGGGAGGAAGTAAGCTAGGGTAACCATACCACTCCAAGGGGAGAAGGAAAGCCAGAGAGAAAATTGGGGGCCTTCTCGAATCTGGGGCCACACGTTCCATCCTTGGCCCGTGAATTTACACAGAGAGTTTGCCTTCCCCCCCTTGGGGTAAGGTAGATAAAGTATTTCTTTGGTCAGTAAATTTGAGGGCTTATTTACAAAGTAGCTTTAAATCTTCAAGTTCAAAGCCAGTTATCTCAATAATTGGCTGTTTCTGTTTCCTATTCTCAAATCTGGGAGAGTCTCTTAGAGCAGTCACCCAGCCTAGGGAAGGTAAGAAAGTTTGCTGTCATGTGACAATTCAGACAGATGGGTAGGGGCTGCTTGGAGCACTGCATTGAAAAAGATTCTTCAGGGGTGCCTGGGTGGCGCAGTCGGTTGAGCCTCCGACTTCAGCCAGGTCACGATATTGCGGTCCGTGAGTTCGAGCCCGGCGTCAGGCTCTGGGCTGATGGCTCAGAGCCTGGAGCCTGTTTCCGATTCTGTGTCTCCCTCTCTCTCTGCCCCTCCCCTGTTCATGCTCTGTCTCTCTCTGTCCCAAAAATAAATAAACGTTGAAAAAAAAAATTAAAAAAAAAAACAATTCTTATAAAAAAAAAAAAAATTAAAAAAAAAAAAAAAAAAGAAAAAGATTCTTCAGCCCCACGTACCCCCAGTGAGAATGCAGGCTGTAATCCATTAGCAATGTCTGGCACAGGCACTGGAAGGGGTAGCTAGGTCACTGTGTTATGTATTTGTTACTGCTGACTACTTCAAGCCCGCGTGTCAGATATGGGAGGGCCTAATTCTCAGGAGCGGAGAGTCTACCAGAGTGTCAAGGCCAAGGTCCCCGGAAACAATCAGAGAACAATAAAGGCCGTCCGTCAGGAGGTGTTGAATCATACAGAACGGCAGCAACGGCAGGAAGGACAGTCAGACACTCGGGAGAGGGAGAGGTGATGTGGCAGGACAGCTGCCAAGTGAAAGTGGCCTTGGGAAGAAAAGAAAATGGTTCAAGAGCAGAAGGCATGTTCCAGGTGGTAAGGTTGGGATAGGTGGGTGCGGGGGACAGGGCAACTGGGATGACCCAAGGGCAGGGGCAGAAGGAAGATGGCAGGTGTCAGGGCGTGCGTGTGCCATTGGTACACATTGATCCATTCCATCAGCACACACGGAGCACTGAGTGTGTGGCCAGTAGTGTGGGGTGCTGAGGACCGAGTAATGATCACCACGTGGTTCCTGCCCTCGAGAGCTCAGTCATGGGGGAGATGAAGAAATAAATGCATAAATAATAAGTTTCTAAAGACAGAGTCAAGGGTAATGATGGTAATAATGAGGGAACCAAGAGGCACAGAATGGGAGACCCAAGAAAACCTTCCCCGTTCTCAGTGAATGAATGAGGTGACCTTGAAGCTGAGATCCAGAGTTAAGGGTGGGGTTTGGTCAGGGGGAAAGGGGAGGGGGCTAGGCAGAGGGAACAGCATGTGCAAAGACCCAGAGGAGAGAAAAACTACAGCGAGGGGCTGGGGGAGGCCTGCGGGGCCATGAGGCCTGAAAGCGAAGGCATACATTCAGTCGGGGGGGGGGGGGGGCATGCCCAGAGGGGTGAACGCACCATGTAGTAGTCGTAGAGGAAGCTCAAGGCCGCCACACTGTCGTCGTCGCCATTGACCCTCATCATGGCCTTCGTGGCGGCCGTCAAGGGGTTTTCCAGGTAGGTCTTCCAGGCCTCGTCCTCACTAGTGTAGGGGAACTTCTGGAAGTTGACTGGGTCATTCTTTAGCAGTCGTACGGACCTGAAACTAGAAGGTGAGTAAGGAATGTTAAATTTAGGCTGTCCCAGAAGAAGGTCCATGGATGATCAGCCTCAGGCCAGTGCCCAGGGATTTCAGAGTCTTAAAAACCTGGAACCGTTTCTTCTGCCACCACCGGGCAGCTTGGGGGACTAGAACGTACCTGCCCTCGGGCGCTAGATGCTTTCAGTCAATATCAAATGTTGCCATATGAAAGCCGTAGACCTCGGGCCTCAGTTCCCTCATCTGCAGCACAAAGACCATAATCCCAACCTTGCAAAGCTTCAGACAGGATTCAGTAAAATGTTTCCATGGTAGATCCTTATTCAAGGGGGATTTAGCATTAGAAGGATAGGAAACAACGACAAGCTGTGAAGAACAAAATTTCCAGATGGCCCAGCACAAGTTCTTCCAAAGAAGTTCCTCTCCAGACTGTGAAGGCCACGGAAGGCTGGCGATCATTGCAAGTTAGGGAGCGTGGCGAGGAACAGAGAGAGCCAGGGCGAGGAAGCCTGTGGGCAGAACCTGGTCTTGGGAAGTGGCTTTTCAGACCAACACGGATTGCAGAGGGCACGAGCAGCCACTCAGAGCCAGGAACCAGAGGCGAAAGCTGGAGGGCACGCGGAGGAGACGGAACCCAGAAGGGCTGAGAACTCAGACACGTACAAGGCATGTGGCCCAAGAGACGAGCCACAGGGGCTCAAAGGAAAGAGATCATGAGAGGCTTTTTGGAGGAAGCAGGACATTTTAGCAGGGGGAATACTCAGCACTGGGGAATAGATCACACAGAAGAGCCAAGGGAGGCCATAGGGATAGGGACATGACACAGAATAATGATGTAGATTATTAAAATTATTATCTAATCTTTATTGAGCATTGACCATGTTTCAGATGCTGTGCTAAGCACTCTCCATGGATTCTCTTACTTAATTCTCATAAGAACCCCGCAAGGCAGGCACTATTAGTGTCCCTATTTTAGAGATGAGGAAACTGAAGCTCAGAGAAGCTAAGGGAATTGCTCAAACTCCTGTTAGTGAGGGGCCCTGAGGGCAATCAAGCTCAAGCAGGATGATGCTGTAATACAGGATGCTGTTCTCAAACTTTAGCTGCATCCGAATGACCCGGAAGGCTTATTTTTAAAACACAGAATCGGGGCGCCTGGGTGGCGCAGTCGGTTAAGCGTCCGACTTCAGCCAGGTCACGATCTCGCGGTCCGTGAGTTCAAGCCCCGCGTCGGGCTCTGGGCTGATGGCTCGGAGCCTGGAGCCTGTTTCCGATTCTGTGTCTCCCTCTCTCTCTGCCCCTCCCCCGTTCATGCTCTGTCTCTCTCTGTCCCAAAAATAAATAAAAAAAAAAAAGTTGAAAAAAAAATTAAAAAAAAAA